GTCGATGGTAATGTACAGACGGCTGAATAGTTGTAGGGAGAGTAACACACAGCATACAACAAAAATGTTGCAAGCAACTTGCTACTGAGAATTCCAAAGAAAATAATGTGAAATTTTCATTCACATTCTTTTCTCCTTATTCTATCTTATTGACAATGGAATGCTGTAACGGCAAATAACATGGACAATGAGAAGTACTTCGCAAGTATTTGCCACTTAACAACAAAAATACAGTTAATTTAAAATGAAATTGAAAATTAAAACTAAAGTTAAATTAAAATTGATAAAAAATATTTTAAATAGAAATTAAATTTAAAATTTAAATTAAAACTAAAATAAAAATAAAATTAATTAAATTTGGAATCGGAATTGGAATTCTAATTAAAATTTAAATTAAAACTAGAATTAAAATTAAAACTAAAATTAAATTTAAAATTAAAACTAAAATTTAAATTAGAAATAAAACTGAAACTAAAACTAAAACTAAAACTAAAACTAAAACTAAAACTAAAACTAAAACTAAAACTAAAACTAAAACTAAAACTAAAACTAAAACTAAAACTAAAATTAATTAAATTTAAATTTAAATTAACATTCCAATTCTACATAAAATTTAAATTAAAACTAGAATTAAAATTAGAACTAAAATTAAAATTAAAACTGAAATAAAAATTAGCCATCAATTTTGAATTTCAATTTCAATTTATATTAAAATCAAAATTGAAATTAAAAATAAAATAATTTATCATGAATTAAATGAAATATAAATTTAAATTAAAATTAATATTAAAGATAAAACTTAAATTCAAATTGAAATTAAAATTAAGATTAAAATTCAAAATAAAAATAATTATAATTCAAATTTAATTTTAAATAAAATCAAAAACTTTTAAACATGTAAAAATAAAGATTAAATATGAAAGTTTGAAATTAAATAAAAATTGGAAGTAGATGTAAAAATGAAATAAAATAAAATAATAGCTAAATAAAATAAAGTTATTAAAAGGCGAAAAGAATAAAAATAACAATTAAGACTTATATAAATTATAAAATTATAGTTCTAAGAATAGAAGTAAAAAAACAAAAATTAAAATAAAATTAAAATTAATATAAGAACAAAAATGGAATAAAATTAAAATGAAACAGAGCAAAAGTAATTAAATTAAATAAAATTAGTTTTAGGTAAAATAGAATTAAACTTACTTATACATTTATGTATGCACATATATAATATATGTATAATGGTTATTAAAAATTCATTTAAAGTTTTTTTTTTTAATTATTTCTCTACAAATAAGAAAATGGCCACAATGCAATCAAGCATTAAATTTTTGCACACTCATAAGTGGAAAGAATTTCAAAAGGCACATAAATTGTTTTATTTTTTTTTTTCAAAATCCTAACATACACGCACATACATGCACACTTATGCATATACACATGCAGTTACAGATACTCCCTTTATAGTTAACTATTATTAAGGAAAGTTTTTATGCCAATCACGCTCACGCGCCACTTCCTTTCCTTTCGGATTGCCTATCAATTTCACAGACTGTCGCCCAAATCGTCGCCTATTAACAAAATTCCCCAAATTCTTTCAAACTTTTTATTCATTCATAAAAATTATAAAAAGCTACGAACAAATATGCTATTTATAGCTAATGTGTGTAGACAAACATGCTCAAATGACGAAGGTGGGCATGTAAAAGCATCCATAGGATCATATACACAAGGTGTGTGGAAACAATAACGACCTTTTTTTAAATTTCGCGTGTTTGAGTATTAAAACATTTTTTGTTGGTATATATGCTCCTTAAATATTATAGACTTCAGATGTAGATTAACTTGTATGTTAAAACTACTAAGACTAGTCTTTCGATTTTCGTTCGTTAAAATAAATGGATCAAGTAATTTTTATCAAATTTTGAGTGAAAATAATATAGAAAGAGCTTACGAGTAGTTTCCTAAAAGGGCGTGAAGACCAATCATACCAATTTTTTCCACTGTTGCCTTTCTCGGTAAAAAAAAATTGTTAATTACATAAAGCTACTTACACATATACCAATCTTTGAAGCGGAAAGAAACATATTTTAACCTAGGCAAAGGTGCTTCTGCTGCTCCAAATATTAAAAAATCGAACCAAAACCAGAATAATTTCGAGCAGATCTTTCTAAATTTTTATGAAAAAAATTTTACCCAGGTCGATTTAGGTAAAGAGCGAGCTATCTCTGAGCCAAAACTCATATGAGTCTAAAGATTTATAAAAAATAGACTCGATATTTTAAAACAGAGCGGCTCAGGCCCAAATTTTAGGTCTCTAGGATTGGTTCAGCTTTCGTCAATCAGTCAAGACAAAGCATTTTATATATATTGAGATGATATAGATGATAGGCGTCAGAAAACTTGAATTCCTATGAAACTCAAAACAGTTTTCAACTGCTGGCTTCTGTTATCCTTCTTCCAATTAGTCAGCTGTCTACCTTATTCCAGTCTCTCACAATTGACTCCAATATAAAAAACCACATGTAAAACTAAAGGCCATTCATTTAATGTGGCAGAGGCTGATGAATACAGATTTCTGGAGAAAAACTAGTGTCAATTAACTAACCAACTAACCACAGACCAGACATATTGGCAACCAACAACAAAAGTTTAAACATACATATGCATACATTACATTTTTTTCTTTTTGCTTAATATTATTTTAAATATTTGTTGTAAAATATTTGTACTTTCCGAGAATTACAAATTTATAACATGTGTTTTTAAATGCAAAACATAGTAAACGTGAGTTGAAAGCAAAGTGATGAGCAAACATAAAAATCTAAAAAAAAATCTAAAAATACTTAATATGGAATGTATGTACAAGTTCATATATATGTATATATATACAAATTACAAATTACAAACACTCTGAAGGTATGAGGGTACGTTGAAAGGCATGAATATACTACGTTCGCCGAAAATTACTGGGCTGAAAAGACCAAATAGCGATTGTGTGCTTCATATAAAATGGCCAACTGTCTAGGCGGCGCTGAGCGAGTTCTTTACAAATTCATAACGTATGCAAAAGTCATACGCGCCCATCAAATTGCTCTAAGTACACGTTGGTACGTAGCGCACACACATATACAGTCGCACATACTATACACGCTATTATCACGCTTGCAATATGGCACCTGGAATTTAACCCGAACTTGATCATTTATGGAGCATTTGACCGTCAAATTTTGCTGATGCTTTTACCGTTGAAGTAAAAAAATAAAATTAAAGAAAATTGAACTAAATGAAATAAAACGATTTAAAATAAAAAAAAATAGAAAAGTAAAATTTTATTAAATTAAATAAAATACAAAAAGACATAAAAATAGAACAAAAATAAATAAATGAAAAGGAATAAAATAAAATCAAATAAATTAAAAAAAATGAAATAAAATAAATTAATGTAAAAAATAATATAAAGTAGTACAATATAATAGAATCAGATGAACTAAAAATAAAAATATATAAAATATAACAACATAAAATAAAATATAATAATATAAAATAAAATACAATAAATTAATCTAAAAATAGCAAAATAAAATAAAATCAAATAGAATAAAATAATAATATAAAAAAATAAAATTAAGTAAAATATAATGAAATACAGTTAAATAAAAAAACAAATAAAAAATAATAATATGAGATAAAATAAAGTAAATAAAGAAAGTAAAATGAAATAAAGCGAAATATAAAATAAAATAAAATAGAAAATGAAACACAATCAAAATTAACACAAACAAAAATTAAAATAAAATAAACAAAAAATAATATAAAATGAAAAAATAAAATAAAATGAATTGAAATATTATAAAAAATTAATTAATTAATTTAAACAAAAAATAGTATCATAAAATATAGAATATAAAGTAAAATAAAAGTTATTAAAATGAAATTAAATAAATATAAAAACTAATAACTTAGTGAAATGAAATAAAACAAAAAAGATAAATTAAAAACAAAAAAAATGCGATTAAATAAAATAAAATAAAATAAAATAAAATAAAATAAAATAAAATAAAATAAAATAAAATAAAATAAAATAAATATAGTAAAACTCAATAAAATATTCTAGAATAAATAAAAATAAAATAAAGCAAAATATAAGATAAAATAAATTAAAAAGTGGAATACAATAAAAATAAATACAAAAAAAAAGTTAAAATAAAATAAACAAAAAATAATTTAAATAAAAAAGTAAAATTAACTAATATTTTATAAAAAAAATTAATTTAATAATTAATATAAAAAATAATATCATAAAATATAGAATATAAAAATTAAGTAAAACAAATTGATATTAATGTGAAACAAAATAATTATAAAAAGTAATAATCTAGTGAAATGAAATAAAATAAATAAGATAAAATAAAAATAAATAAGGTAAAATAAAAATAAACTACAATAAAATAAAATATAGTTAATTATTAAAAAAATAGAATTAATTAAAAATATTAAAATTATTATATAAAATGAAATAGAAAAGGCAGGAAAAATAAAATTTAATTAAAATAGTAAAAATTTGAATTTAATTTCACACTAAATAAAAATTGATATTAATATCAAAGGCCTGAGTTCGAGTCTTGGTTTGATCAACGTCCAAAATTCAAAACATTAATTTTACTTTTTGCGGTCGCCACTTGCCGACCAAATGTCAATCCCTGCTAGTGTATTGCTGACAAGAAATAAAACTTCCTCATCTAAATCTATCGGCCTTTAAGAGACGGCTTAGAATAAACTATAGGTACCTCCATTTTTTGGAAAAACGTAAAGACGCACAACACAAATTAGAGATTGGAGCGCCATTTATATAAAAAATAATATAATGATTATTTATATGTAACTAATACTAAAATAAAATGAAATTTAATTGATCCACATTTTTCTTTATCCAATTTGAAAAATACGTGTAATTTCTCTAAAACTAAACATTTGTATTCTCTTTATTATTATTTCAGTATGCCGATCACTGGATATACGCAACTCACCAAGTGAATTAAGCCAATTACGTAACTGCACGGTCATTGAAGGTTTCCTACTCATCACACTAATGAATCAACACACCACACAGGAGTTTACACAGACATTTCCACTACTCACCGAAGTCACCGAATTCATCATTGTCTATCGTGTACATAATTTACGCTCATTATCACAAATTTTCCCCAATCTAAGCATCATACGCGGTACAACATTGTTCGAAGGATATGCACTCATTGTCTACTACAATCCACATCTGGAGGATTTAGGTCTATCAAAGCTAACAACCATAACTCGTGGTGGCGTACGACTTGAGAACAATATTGTGCTCTGTTATGTGGAGACGATTGCTTGGAAACGTATTGTGAATAAGGATGCGGAAATAGCCATTGAGGTGAGAAGTTTAGAGCATAGTATTTACATTCCTTACGATAGTAAACTAAATAAAATTTTATCCTAAAATATATGCAAACAGAATAATAGCAAATTGATTGAGTGTCCCAAATGCCCGGGGGATGCGAGAGCTGTTCGAGAAGAGGGTGCGGATAATGAACCAATATGCAAGGAATTCGATGGACAAATACGTTGTTGGAACAGTAAAAAGTGTCAAAAAAGTGAGTAGTTTGCTGGATTTATAGTTTAGGAGATTTTTTTTTTTAAAGAATTCCAAAAATTTTTTAATATAATTTTGGATTTAATACAATTAGTTAGAAAACTACAACCTTACCCATGATCATCTACCGAGTCATTAAAAAAATATATGTAATATTTATAACAAAAATTTGAGAAGGACCTTGAACTTTAACAAATAATAAAATAAAAAATTAGAGTATAAAGATTTTACGCGATTGTGAAGCTAAACAAAGCCATATTTATGTATATTTTCTGGAAACAGTTCTTTTTGAATACTGCCACTTCGTTAAGGTAATTCGAATAAGCTCTTCTAGATCTTTACTTACGTAGTCGCCTCTTTTTTTCGCCATTCGGCTACAAGTGCTGTCCCAAATGATTTTTCCGACCGACTAGTGGTCCCCCTGCACCTCTGTTTCCTTCGGTCGGCAATGCATCAAAAAATACCAAAGCTGGAGTTTTCTTATCCATCCAGATAACATGATCTAGCCGCTTCTGTAGCTTACTCGGTCGTAAAATTTTAGCATGTTACCAAATTTCTGACATAGCGGCGTGGAGACGGTTCTTTTTCGTACTGGCGCAGAACACTGCTTACTGCGTGTCGATACTTTTTTCTCAAGGCGCTTTTTCAAGACTTGACACAGTATGAAAATCTGCTTAATTGTATTGTAGATATACAAGGTTTGTAGTAACATTGCAAAGGTCCCATCAATCCCATCAGCTCGTTTACGGGTGCGTTTCAATCTCTCACAAAATACGTTCGTCAGAACCGCATACACACGGTAGTCGGGCAGTGGAGTGTGTATACCAACGTAATCTCTTAGAAATACGGATTCACCCTTTCTATATTTTTCAATGGAATCTACATTTAAGAAGACTACAGCAAGTAGTGATCAAGTACAGATATTATTTTGGAATCGCTCCTGTAGTTCATGGATGGAATGATCTCGAAAAAAACGCTGGGCGGTGATTTTCATTCGGATTGAGTTGGATTTCAGAACTATAGTTCAATCACTGAGGAATATATATATATATATATGTGTATGTATGTCTAAGAGTATATCTACGAAATCTGTACAAAAAGTTGAAACCGATCGATTTAGTCATTTCTGAGAAGTCTACTACACCGACTTTGAACAAAAAAAAAAACTTGATTATTTTAAAATTACTTATTAATGAGTTAATGCCATTATCTTTTTTATGATAATTACTTCAATGCTTTACTCCACAGTCTGTCCCGATAGATGTAAAGACAATTGCGTGGATGAACACACTTGCTGTGATGAGAACTGCCTCGGCGGTTGTTCTCCCGACAATGTAAAAGAGTGTATTAGTTGTCGCGACTACGCCATCTACAACAACACTTGCATCGAAAAATGCCCACCGAATTATTTTAGCGTAAGTTTGAAAGTTTGAAGTAACCCAATTAACAAAAACAAAAAAAAAAAATCAAAAACTCTTTTACACCAATCGACAGTATTTGGATCGCCGCTGTCTCACTGCTGACGAATGTATTGCCATCGGTACTAAATTCGAGAACAATAGGCCACGAATAATTGTGCCTTACGATGGCAAATGTTCGACACGCTGCCCGAATGGTTACAACAAAATCGGCTCGACATGTCAGGCTTGTGGGGATAACTGTGTGAATAAGTGTGATGGTGCGCTGATCGATAGTGTGGAGCGTGCGAAGGACTTCACTGGCTGTACGCACATTGTGAAGAATGGGCTCACCATAAGTATTAAGCGTGGCGGAAGTAAGTCGCTAACACTAAAATTACAACAATTTTAAAATTAATTACTGAATATATTACATGTTATATTTTAAAGAGCATCTTATGGAGGAACTGGAAACGGGTTTGGCATCCATACAAGAAATTAGTACATTTTTAAAAATCCAAGGCACTTATGGTTTAACATCCTTGTCGTTTTTCAAACATCTCAAACGCATTAATGGTACTGAGCTCAGTGAGAACAAGTGAGTGGCTGGCATATTAAATATGATTTGAAAATCAAATATTAATGCATGGAATTTGTATACATATATTTTTTAGATTTGCAATCTATGCACTCGAAAATAATGATCTCGAATCAGTTTGGGGCGATAATCGTACTGTGGAAATCGAAAGAGGTCGCGTCTTCTTCCATTTCAATCCAAAATTATGCTACAATGAGATTGAGAAACTACTGCCGATGATGAAGGAAAATGCAACATTCGATAAAAATGAAGTGGCCATAGATTCCAATGGACATAAGGGGTCATGTGAGTGCTTGAATATCAATATGAAACAGATCATACAATATATTCTACAACCGGTTTGATACAAGCGTACTTACTTCACTTACATGCTTCTCTGAATTCCAGGTAATACAGAATTATTGAATGTTACAGTGTTAAGAATCTCAAGTCGCGTTGCTGTTGTGGAAATCTTGAACCCATTGGTATTTGACGATAATCGCACATTTATTGGTTATCAATACTACTTCATGGAGGATAAGTACAAAAATGCCACCAAATATTCCCAACGTATATGTGATGATGGGTAAGAAAATCCTTATATTTATTATTATTTTGAATGCTCTGCGCCACCACTTCAGAGGCTCAAGCAGTGTGACAACAAAAAAAAGTGATTTTTGGAAATTTTTATAAATAAATCTTCTCCATTGAATATTTTACGATATGAAGGGTATATTTGTATATAAATAAGGTATTTTTAAATTTTTATTTTTTTTGAACGGTAATCTGGCATTTTCGACGAGATATGCGCTAAGCCGCTGAGGTCCGAAAAAAAACAAGTCTCCAATTTGCTGTCATGCTAACTGTCCTCAGGGTATCTGAAATGAATAAAGACAAAAAAGGCGTTTAAGAGGAGTGTAGAAAAATAAAGTGAAAAATTAAAGCCCAAAAAATGGCAAAAAATGGTTCAAATTTAATTTAAAAAACTGACGGTATTTTTTATGCCTAATCTATAATTTTAATCCGACAGTTATGCCTGAAATAATGCTGCATACGATCAAGCAGAAGTTTCAAGTCGATCAGATGGATTAGTTTTTGAGTTACGATGGCAACAAATTTAGAGAAAAAAAATATACTTAAACTTACATGACTGATCTTACAAGTTTTAAGATTATTTAGAAATTATATAATAACGCATCTGTGGTTTTTTTTTCGGTTAAGCCTCTCAGAAGTGTCACAATTCGAAAATATGAAACAACTTGTAAATTTAAAAAATATTGATGTTTATACTTATGTGTTTTCTCTTAATTCTACTATTTCTATAGCTGGACTGTAAGTGATCCCACAAAGGATCCCCAATACATCTTCATAAATCTGCTGCCATATACGCAATATGCATATTATGTGAAAACATGGACTATATCATCGGAGAAACGTAACGCACAAAGTAATATACATTATTTTAAAACCAAATCTGCGCAACCTAAGTTCGTACAAAGCTTAAATGCCTACGCAATATCGAGTTCTAAAATCGTAAGTAATATCGAAAACTGGTTTGGTGTGCCATAAAAATACATATATATTTCAACATGGTTATGGGTATTTCCAAAAACCTAAATCAAATTGACGTAACGTTAATCGTAAGGTATTAGGCAATGAAAAAAGAATTACATTTCTTTTTATTTTTTATTAACAACTTGCTTAACGAGAAATTGATGGCCCAAAATTTTGTATCTGAATAATATGGTAAAGGTAACTTTATCGCTAAGCATTTGTTTAATGTCATTTGTTCAAACCCTGGCCAAACTAACTTCTAAAAATTATTGAAAAATAATTTAGACTTCGTTCGTTCGTTAGGGAATGACAATTGCTTTGGGTGCATTTTTGATATAATATTAAAAATTCTCTTCATAAAAACCCAATTTGCATCGTATGCTTTCAAATTTGGCATGCTCTTAACCTGAGCTAATCACCGCAGCCGCTGTCCCTTAAATCACTGTACTATTTCAATGCCACCGCAACGCATCATTTCATTGTCTGCGGCACTCGACGCTCACAATGCCCAAAGGGCCTCAAATCTGCTCATCTCGAAAACTCCTAGTGGCGACTCAACAGTGGGATAGTGTTATAGAGGATTGTACCATCTCTGTTTAGCTTGCAGTTCATATCATTTTCGCGAGCATGACATCCTCTAGTGTCGAACAGAACCTTAAGGAGCGGTATACAGGACTTTTAAGTGTCTCTAGGATACCAAATGCAGGCATAGCAGCTTAGAGACACACCATTCTGTCGAAATCATTTTAAAGTCGACGAAAATGTTGGGTGTGCCAATTTTTTTTCGGATAGTTCATTCGTGGCTTTGCCAGATCGATTGTCTCAGCCGACTTAACGCAAATACCCATAAACGCATTAAGCAAATATTGCAAGTATACTTTATAACTAACTTTTTCTCTAGGCTATTACATGGACACCACCTTCCAATCCGCAAGGCAATCTTACAACCTATCGTGTGCGTGCTGTACTCGACAAACGCAGTCAGGTCTTAGAAGGACGTGACTACTGCAAAGATCGTAAGTTGTCTAAAAAAAATATAATTATAAATTTATTTAAATATATATATATGTATATTTAATAGCTGCGCAAATCGATAAAGATGACGATACAAAGGATCCTACACGCGATAATCCAGCCGGCGCAACAGAGGCGCCAAATGCTGCCAACTGTAAATGTGATGGCGAGAAATCGCCAAATCATAGCGAAGTCGATACTAGTGAGGCCACAATTGTTGCGGGCATCGATTTCGAGAATACGTTGCAGAATTTCATCTATGTGAAGTAAGTAAACCTTGAAAAACAGAAAAAAAGAAAACAAATTCTATTTAAATTAAATAATAATATAAATTTTATTGCGCTTTATTCGTCTTGCAGACATACCAAGGCAAAGAAAAAAGTACCTGCCAGCAACAAGGAAGCTAAACGTCGGCGCAGAAGTGAAGGCGAACCGCAGGATAGTTTTCTTGTACGCCACATGCGCGCCGTACCCGATAATTTTGAAAATAAAATACTCAAGACGACCACTGAGAGTGACAACGGCCGGGAGGGTACTATTATAACCACCGTATCACCGGTTGAAACCACCACCGCACTTGGTCATACCAATACAACACATAACAATAGCAAGGGTTTGGATCCAACTGGTCAATACTATGAGAGCTTCATACTCAACGTATCTATCAGCACTACCAGATATGAGTTCACACAACTCAAACATTTCTCCTATTACACAATCGGTGTTGAAGCATGTCGCGCGCCTGAATTGGGCGCCACGGAAAAGGAATGCAGTGATGTGCGTATGAGTTTTGTACGTACCAAAAAAATGGGTGAGTGTTGAGAAATAATCTGATGAAAGAATCTGATTGATATCTATGAGTTTTCATAAAATACCTTTTATCATATGGCAGAGGGTGTGGATAAGGTGCAAAATTTGCGTGTTGGTTTGATGCAAACAAATACATCGAGAAGTGAGGTGCGCATAAATTGGGATCCACCAGAGAATCCCAATGGTGATGTTGTTTCTTATACGATTTCCTATAAGAAATCGGAACAAGATGCTGTGGAGGAGAAACGTTGCATAACTGAAGTGAATTATCGCAATTTAACTAATGGCTACACGATGCCATTGCCGACAGGCAACTATAGTATTAGAGTGCGTGCGAATTCTTTAGCTGGCGACGGTGTCTACTCAGAAATCGTATATATTGACATTCCGGTAAGTAGAGTGTATCAACTTTTATTTGTGATTATGTAATTTCTATGCTTATACATAAAAGTAATTAATTATTGTATATTTAATGAATTATAGCCCGAAAAATGGTCCGGTGCATTAATAGCGGGTATATGTATCGCTATTATTTGTATTATACTCTTAATGGGTGGAGTTTATTGGTACGTTCGACGAAAGTATGCGCCACCAAACGATATCAAAATCATTCCCACCGTCAATCCATACTATATCAGTCTACAATATGTACAAGACGGTTGGGAGGTGGAACGTGATCGTGTTATACAATTAAGTTCGCTCGGTCAGGGCTCTTTTGGTATGGTATACGAAGGTATACTCAAAGGTCTAGACAGCAGTGCTGAGGATACGCCGTGTGCTATTAAGACTGTCAATGAAAATGCAACTGATCGCGAACGTATTAATTTCTTAAGCGAAGCCAGTGTTATGAAACAATTCGATACATATCACGTTGTTCGACTACTCGGCGTTTGTTCTATTGGTCAGCCGGCATTGGTTGTAATGGAGCTAATGAAATATGGTGATTTAAAGTCATATTTACGTGCACACCGTCCCGATAGTGTACAAGGTGATGAAATGCCTTTCAGATATCGTGATACGGGCGAACAACCGCCACCCTTGAGTCGTGTCTTTCAGGTTAGTTTTTGTTTTTTGCTCATACATGCCAAAAAATATATATACATATAAGTAAAAGAATAAATTTTACGCAGATGGCCATCGAAATAGCCGATGGTATGACCTACCTTTCAGCCAAGAAGTTTGTGCATCGCGATTTAGCTGCTCGCAACTGTATGGTTGGCGAGGGCTTGACTGTGAAAATCGGTGATTTCGGCATGACTCGAGATGTCTATGAGACTGATTACTATCGTAAGGGTGATAAAGGTACGAAAGTGCAGAGACAAAAAAATTGGTTTTAAATGGAGAAATGTATGTTGGTAAATATTATATTACGAAATCTCTTCACAGGTTTACTGCCCGTACGTTGGATGCCCCCCGAAAGTTTACGCGACGGCATTTATGCCACATCCAGTGATGTGTTCAGTTATGGCGTTGTACTTTGGGAAATCGTCACACTTGCTTCACAACCATATCCCGTAAGTTTTTTTTCCGCCTTATTAATAACGAATTCAAAGCGTCTAACCATTTTGGCTTGCAGGGTTACTCGAACGATCAAGTATTGCGCTTTGTTATAGAGGGTGGCGTTATGGAACGTCCTGATAATTGTCCAGACAAAATATATGAAATTATGCAACAATGTTGGGAGCATCGGCCATCGAAACGTCCATCGTTTTTCAAAATTATACGTACATTGTTGGATCATGTGAATACCGATTCTGGAGGTTATATTTCACATTTTCGTGAAGTATCCTATTTCTTCTCTAATGAGGGTACACAGGAAAACGAAAAAGATCAAGCAGGTGAGTTTTTTTTGTTCTTTTGTTGTATAACAGTATTCCGTTTACCACTAAATGCAAACGTTTATCAATTACCTTTATTATGTTCATCTGTTTTAATATATGTATGTATGTATATATAACTACCAACATTTTCAGAGAGCATGCATACATCTGACGATATCTTTAGTGAGGAAAATGAAATTGACGATGCCACAACACCATTGCGTACAGACGAATTCAATGAATATAAACTTAATATGGCCAATAATTCATCGGTAGAACAAGAAGGTGACAGTCCACTGGCCGCAGATGATGAGCATCCCCATTCTCCTTTTAGGTGAGGACAAGTCAAGCAACATTAAATTTGTTTAGGTAATTTTTAGGCTATCAGAACAAATTTCTATTAAATAAATACAGTTAAATTAAAAACAATATAACACTACTTTCGCACACAAGACATATAATTCTTGAAAAAAAGTAAATTATTAGTAGTAATTGATTTCGAGTTTGATTTCTTATTATGAATTTGAAATCATCTAAATGAGTGTACAAAACATATTTCCTTAATTAGAGAAAAAGATAATTTAACTTAATTGGAAATTGTTCGGTTATAGCCCAAAAATTACAATATTATATACGCATACATATATATTTTTGCGAAATGAGGAGGTTTTAAGGAGGCTCATTCGGATCATAATGCGCTCAGTGACTCATTGTTAGCCTAAATATGAGGTTTCATTGTTATTAGACAATTAGCCTTTGAGCTATTGCCAACCAAGCAATATAATCGGGAATAAAATATGGAAAAAAATCGTATGTCCTGGAGTTGTATACTTCCTTACCAGGGAAAAAAAATCATTTCCAACCATAATGAATAAGATTTCATTTGTTTACGGCGACTGTTGTCCAGAGCTCAACAAAAAGTTAAAAAAAAAATGTACTAAAGGAGAAACAACTCACAGAAATGGTTAGAGCATGCGATACCAGCATTCTGCACGATCAATTTGGCATCAAGTTGCTTGGCGAGAATGCTCATAGAATGTTTACGTGCTGGGCCGGCCCGCTTCAGGAGGGGTTCCATATATTTAGATCACCCACCCCACTCTACACTCCAGACCCGTCCACGAGCGATCATTACCTGTTTCCAAAAATAAACAATAAATAAAGGTTAAAAAATCTAACACCGTTGATGAAGTCAAGAAGGCAGTTTCGATGTATTTTGAAGATAAAGAGATCTCGTTTTTTTATAATCGTATTAATAAGTTAATTGAAAGAAAGTCATTTTCGACCGATCTTCAACTTCAATATGTCGAAAGGATCTTGATGTTTTTCCAATAGAATGGAGGGATCTACAGTTTTATTCGCCCTCGAATCGCTGAGGGATTTTTTTTTTTATGTTAGAAATATACTCAGAGAGGACTCTCTGCCGAGGACCGTCCACAATTAGTACAAACTTTCCACAATCTCCTTTTATGACGCATTTCAAACGCTTATTGTTTTTGCTTTGTATATGTATGTATATATAAATCCAAATATTTTTATTTCCATTCTATTGTATATTAAACCTGACTTTTTTAAATGCGCATATGCACATACATAAATTCTGAATCTCATCTTTACTTAATTCATTCTTGCAACACAGCCATAGCCTAGGCTCGGCTAACGTCGTTAGTAGCACACCGGATGGTCAATCTAAGAACAGCTATAATTTCTCACAAATGTCGCAAAATAATCAAACACTCCTCAGTTCGTTACCATCTACATCAGCTGGCATTGTTAGCGGCGGTTCGCATTCTCAGTCACATCAACTGCATCAGCCCGGCATGCATCTACGTCAGCCACGCCAAAGCCAATTTCCCACTGGTGATACCGCAGCCAATTATGTACTTCCCGACTATGATCCACACACCACTTACGATAGTAAAAATGTGCGCAAAAGTACAATGGCCAGTGGCAGTGCCGAAACCGACGAACGCGGTTATGAAATGTATGACCCAAGTCCAAATTACCGCGAACATGCTCCATATGATCCGACTGTAGATGAAGATGATTTTGATGGCATGCCTGGATTAACTGGGCATAGTACCAGAATTGGCAGTGGAGGTCAACAACTATTGCCACGTAGTAAGCCACGTCATCGCATGCCTGTCATAATGCCAATGTCTAGCTCAATGCCGGACGAAATAATTGGTACGCCAATTTCCTCATCGTTGCATCCATCAACTGCATCGGCGGCTTCATCGAATGCTTCGTCAACAAACGCCTCAACGAGTCGATATGCGGGCTTGAAAGCCGTTGCCGATAAAATGCGTTTAAAGAATATTAATCGACGCATCTTCAATCACAAACGCTCGGGTAGCAATGCCAGCCATAAAAGTACCAGTTCCAATCCGAATACGGCCACTTCTTCAAGTAGTAATTCGAATTTAGCAGCAGGTGTCAATGCTGGACGCGGCAAAAGTATTAGCGGTCATAATTTGGGTACAATTGAAAGCGGTGGCAGTGGTAGTGCCAGCAGTTATGTTTTGCCGCGCTTTTTCACACCCACGACGGAAGCAGACAGAACGCTCACTAGAGATAATCCAAACTACCGTTTGCTAGATGAAACAGCAAACACTTCATGTCTTTCCGGCGCCAGCGGCGGCGCGTCCACCAAGAATACGAGCTATAGAAGACTGAATGAATCATTAAATTCAACGTTAACGCCAAGCAAAGCAGCCAGCACTAGCACCGCACCAGCCAGCAATATTTCTGCCCTTCCGCCTACGCGCCCATATACACAATCTACCCAAAACGCCAATTACACACTAATGGGTCCGACGGCCACCGAGCCAACCTTACGCACTACTGACAATCCCAACTATGTTGTGATGAATCAACCCGCCGCACTTAGTATGCCGCCCAGACAAATGCCCGCCACAACTTCTACCAGTCTATCTACAATAGCACAAATTCACGATGATCCTGCCTATACAGTAATGGGTCCGCTACCACGTAATCCAAGTAATAATGCATCTTCGACATCAACGATCGGCGATGATCATAAAGCTGAAGCGGAAGCGGAAGCTGAGGATGAGGCTGAATATGAAGACGATGATAATGATGAAGAAGATGATGACGACGATGGTGAGCCTACTGAGCACATTAAAATGGAACTACTTGGTGCGCATCGACGTGGTAGTGACAAAGCACAACAACAACAACAACAACAACAACAGCGTAAATCACGTGGTGCACGTAGTCGCAGCCAAAGTCAAAATAAACAGGATGAAAAGGCGGCAGCAACAAAGAAAAGCAGCTCGACAGGAGCCAGTCCTTCAGGCGGCCTAACAAGCACCAGTGAGGCTAGCAGTAGTTATATCAGTCTAACGCCAATCGTAGCAATAGCGTCAACAACGCCAGCAACAACAACAACAACAACACAATCCAGACCATCTGCGACATACTCACTGAAGGAGAATTGGTTGCGTCAACAATCGCAACAGACACAACATCAACAACAACCACCACCACCAAATGGTTTCATCGGTCGTGATACGTAGTATCAGGGGGTAAAGGCAGAGCATCGAAAGCGTAGGACAAGGAAACGTAATACAGCACTGCCGACTTAAGTAAATACAAACTAAAAAAACAGAAAACAAAAACAAAAACAAACAAAAACAAATAATGCAAATAATAAAGAAATGCGCCGAAAATGTGTACATATGTGCATAGATATGTATGAATCTGGTGTGAAAAAGTTGACCCTAAAACCAATATGCATAGATCAATTGTAAATTCTACACAAGGACGAATGTAAAATGTTTGCTGTAAGTAGATAGTTCAAAGTAAATGCAATTTTTTTTACACTTTTTGTTGTTTTTTTTTCTTTTTGCTCATGATAATTTTTAAGCGAATTAAAGTTAATTATATAAAGATAAAAAAATAATTATTATACTGTACAATTTTATGTATATGTATATATGTAAAAATAAAATGTATGTATTTGCATAGCTATGTATACGTAATATATGTAAGCTAAACTTTATTTAGTCTAATATTGGAAATTAAGCAAAAAGTAAAAGAAAGCAGAAAGCAAAAAGTAAAAAGCAAAAAGAGACGACGACGGCGATCATTCAGCCAATTTTACTGTTTGTATGTAGTATGTATTTGTGAAAAAAAAAATTGTAAAACATACATTAAAAAAAAATTGTAACATCATTTGACATCCGCGTACGACATACGTACACATATATTATTTTTATGTAGTATGTATGTATGTATGTATGAGAGAAAAATTGTAAACATACATTTATGAAAAACAACAAATTGTAATATCATTTAACATCCACGTACGACATACGTACACACAAACACATACACACAAACCTAATAAACACTTACATATTATCTGCGCCGGAATAAGAATGAAAAAGAAAAACCAACAAATAAAAGAAACAATTCGATCAATCAATAACAACAACAAAAGGTGAAAACTATATTTTTAAAATGATTTTCGCATGCATGTATGTATGTAGGCACACATATATTTTCCAAAAACTAAGTACTGTTACACTACTAAATCACTTAACTTTGTTAGTCCAGTTATACAAAGAATACTTTCTTGGAAAAGTACTGTTTAAATTTTGTATAAACATATTGTACACACATACATACATATATGCTATTAGCTAAATTATGTATTTAGAGATTTTAGCAATTCTCTTGTGGGCACTTCGTTTTTGGAAAGCCCACATACTCGTGCATATACATATATATTTTTTCTAATATTTTTAGTTAAAACGAAGCATTGAAATGAGAAAAAAAATTAAATAAACTATTAACGAGCTAGTAGACACTTTTTTTTCGAAAATTTGGTATGTCAAAATGTGTGCTATATGCATACGTATGTATGTATATTACATAGTGACGTTATTCATCATTTTTATTGCAAAAACTTGTGGGTGTTTATACAAGTACAGAATATTTTTGGAGAGTTTCTAACACCAAAAAAAAAAATATATATTTTCCACGCAAGCAAAATAACAATGCAATGTCAACAATATTTTTTTTTTAACTGAAAATAGTTTAACGTTTTAACTGGAAAATTTGAAAATTGTCAGTTTCTAGCCGTTACCCACTTTATAAACGACGTTTACATATTATATAATACACATACAATTATGCTGTTGTGTATATTTTCAAAATTCAAAGCGAATTAGTTAATTTTGAAAAAAAAAATCACCTGTTTAAAAACGGCATTTAATGCATGCTGATAAAAAAAATAATTATAAATTAATAAACACAATTGTAACGCCCGGAAACTCCAGTATTTACGAGTTTTGAATGCTTTTACACTTTTGATATATGTATGTATATAATTGAAAATTATTATTTTTTTTTTTTGAAATTTTAAACATATGCTAGGCTGATTAATAAGGCCTACTTGACTAATAATCTATTTAAAAATTTGCAGTTAATGCAATAAAAAAGTTGTTCGGCATTGGAATTTCAAAATTACTGCTTCAAAAATTTTAAAAAGTAATGCATTTTTTTTTTGTATTAAAACTTAAAAATATGGTATTGCATTGAAATATTAATGCATTTTTGTAACGCTTTGCTGAATAAAATTTAAAATTAACTAAAACTGCTAAAACACACTTCGCTTCAATATCGACATGATTGTCAGCAATTTTTAGCCTACTGTATGAAAGCTACATGCGAGAAACGTGTGACCATTAGAAAATTAAAAAATATAAATAAAAAAAAAATAAAAGTAAAGTGAAATTTAAAATATGAGGCACTCTCGGAGATGATGTAAAAAATAAATGGCTGAATAATACTTAATATTATTATACAATACAAGGTACGAAATTTATAATAATAATAATAATAAATGCATGCTAGTTTCAATTTGTACGTACATATAATATATATATATATATATATATATTTGGAAATAAAAACTAAATTAAATATTAATTAATTATTTTCTTAAACATTATACATACATATATGAATATTTGGTAAAACTTAAATTGAAAAATTAAGAAAAAAGAAATTCACTTTAAATTGAACGTAATTAAAAATTTAACTAATTTGTACTTAGAAATATGATGCTTTTGGCTTGAAAAAATATTAAAATTATTTAAACAAAAAAAAATACGCAACAAATTTTTGTTTTAATATTCTGCTAAAAACTAAATAATAAATACTAAATATATCAAAATTTAAGGCGAAGTAATCAAAATTAAGTGAAATTATTAGAAAACTTAAGCAAATTATATTAGAAAAATACAAACAAACATAATATGTACATATGCTAACCGTAAATATGGTACATACATATGTACACATGTATGTATGTATATACAATGAAAAAAAAACAACTAAAAATAATATATTTTGATGAGAAACATGAGAAACATGCCACTCGGTCGATTTATGTATGTTTGTAAAAAGCATGTGTTCAGCCAAAACCAAAAAAATAAATTAAAAGCAAAATTTTTACAAATTATTAATATGCATGTATGCTTTATATACCAGAATTATTCTCAAAATTTTACTTTCGAAATTTTGTTGCCAAAACAAATTTCCAATTAAATCCTCATTAATAGTGAATGAAACTCCGCATATTCTCAAACGAAAGCTTCCGTACGAATAGCACTACACAGGACTAGCACATATGCACACAACACACACATATACACACATCCAAATGCATATATGATAGTTAAATGAAATGAAATAAAACACAAAAAGAGTACAAATTACATATAAGTGCAAAACGAAGTAGTAATAATAAATAATAAATGCAGTGACAGTAGAATTAAGAAAATCTACATGTACATATGTATGTACAATATATGTATGTAGTGTAAGTGTAAGTGTGTACGATTTCTAAATAAGCACATATTTCATAGTAATAGAATTAAGCATAAATAAAAGCAAGTGTTTATAAAAAACGAAGCGTAGTATAATATGCATATGTACATATGTACATACATACATATTTGTTTAAGCAGAAGAAGACGATAAATCGAGTGGCGACTGGCGGTATACAAGCGAGAGAGATAGGCAAGCGTTATTATTTCAAAAAAAAACAAAAGAAAAAGAAAATTTATTACGAAAAACCAAATTATTTTGATAAAAAAGAAATTATTTTGATAAAAATAAAAAATTTTTTGAAAAAAAAATTTCCGAAAATACAATTACTTTGAAAAAAAAAATATTGAAAAAAAATACAATTATTTAAAAATAAAACCAAATTCGAAAAAAATATTCCAAAACATTCTTTTCGAGAAAAAATTCGGAAAAATTATTTAAAAAACAAAAAAGTTTGGAAAAAATAAATTATTTCGAAAACAAAAAAAAATCATTTTGAAAAAATTTATTCAAAATTATTGCACCGCCGTAAATATGAATATTTATTTCGTGATATATTTCAAATGGTAAATGCTTCAACAGGCAATTTTTTTTATATTGTGCTTTTTTTTAATTTATTTCGATTTTTTTTTTTGCACTACATATTTAAATTTATTAATACAGAACATGTTTGTTATGAAAATTTATTTTTACATTTTTATATTATACACAAATATCAAATCTTATGTATTCAAACAAAGCCTAAACACCGCTAATTCTTCCATTAAAAAAAAAAACAACAACAACTAGACTACAATACAAAAACAAAAATACAAATACAAATTTTTAACTAAAGTGCAAAAAAAAAAACAAAAACAAACACAAAAACAAATAATAATAGCAACAACAACAATGAAAGGCAGAAAATATATATTATATTTTGGTTCAAAAACTGTTTTAGTGATTTCAATCAAATCAAAGCAATAATATTTAAACTTAATTTGCATTAAGCATAATGTAAAAGAAAAGAAATAAGAAATTTTACTCTTATTTTGAGTATGTAGCACCTAAAATAGACCAATTTGTTTCGTCTTACTCTATACACCGTTAATTAATTATGAACTTAAATATGCATTTTGTAAGTCAACTTGAATTAAGTCATTCAAATTCATAAAATTATAATTTTTTTTTTTAGGTTTAATAATTTTATAAAATTCTTGAAAATAAAATAACTGAAACAATATTACGTACATACAAAAGTATTATGTTTGCGATTTTTTATGATATTTCCCCTTTTCACTGCGGGTAAGTTTACAATTTTTAAATACAGTTTGCTGCCTTGCACTGCACAAAATAAAGCTAACCCTTTGCCGTTATTTCTGAATTTGATATCCCATTCAGAACATATACCGTTAAGCAACGCTGAACGCTGAGTAACGCCAAAAGCTCTGTCAGGATTTGGAAGGATGCCTCAGTACCAAACGAGGCTTTAGCCAGGCTGATTCATTATCGTGTTACTTTTTCCACCAAATGCCAGAGAAAATATAAGGAGCTGCAGAATTAAAGGGAGGAGCAGCACTCTTATAGAAGAGATAAAAGTTCAGCTTTCTCCAGAGTATAAGAGGAAGCCAGTCGAATGGGTTTGGTAGTGAATTAGAGCAAGACAAAAACAAACAGTTAGCGTGCTCCAGTCTTGACTCCCATGTCACTGTTGACAGTCAAATCTTCAAAGTAGTAAACGATTTCTTCTATTTGGCAATCGGCATAAACACCAAAAACAGCTCTGCAGGAGTAGACACTTATTCCTTTTTGCCTTTTTAGCCAGATCGTTGACTGCGCAGTTGTCTTGGATATTTATAACCTATGACCAGGGACCCAAACCACGGATGTTTCGCTTACAGTGAAGAATTTTTTTGAGATCTCACTGCATTTTATTGTCACCTTTGAGGTGGTATCATAGGATTGGAGAGAGTCTTAATGCCAGGCCGGCTTTGAGAATATAGAGCAACCATGAAGCAGCTTCCATTATCGCGATTAGCTCCGCTTGCAGGACACTACAGTAGTCGACTATGCAACCTACCTTGCAATCAAGGTATTTTATAGCCAACGGAGATCTGTTATCTCAATGAATGTAGGGCTCCGCAGATAAGTTTGATATCAAACGCTGTATAAAAGGGGAAATCTTTTTGATCTGAAGTATTTTGTTGATTTGCGATGAGTAAAAAAAAGTTATAATCCAAAGAAAATCTGTAATAATAATTTTTCAAAAAAAAAAATGCCTTTCTTTATAAGAAGTCTGAAAGCTTATATTTTGTAGACTAAATGAAAGCAAAGAACGGACCCGTTTTTAGCACTTTTTCCCCACTAAACGTCAGCGAATACCGCAGAAACACGGAAATCCGCTACATTTTTTCACTGAAACGGCGGTTTTAGCATCTAGGCGCGACTCCATACGTCACACCGATCGCGGAAATCTCCTCATCAGGCATCTCAATTAAGAGATTCGGCGTAAAGTTGACCAACATGAACGGAACAACTGAGGTGAGCACTTAAGATCTTACATTCTCAGTCAAATCGTTGTCTAACACAACGAGACGCGAAAGGAAATTTTATTCGGTGTCCTTGTCTCTTTGGAACCACTTTCTTTTATTTACTAGCGCGAAGACAATTTAGACTTTGCTACTTCCCTTCCTCACACACCATTTGAGCGCAATAGCACATCAGCATAGCATCCGAAAAGTGCACAGCACCACAAGCGTATGCCCTCAATACCTTCACCAACTCCATCTTTTAGATCTTGATTCGACTTTGGCCTGTTTTCTTAGACCTTATCTTTTTCGTAGCGCCAAAGGAAGAAGTCGCAAGTTGTTAAATGACAATGATATCGGTAGCCAATTGCTATCACCTCTTCGATAGGTAACACGAAACTTTTCCCTTAAAGGATCGATGGTTTTGCTGCATATATTTTCAAAACAGTAAGATTCAATGACTCCGCCGGACCATAAACCACATCCATGGAGATACTTTTCAACAATAAAACTTGGGTTTTCCGAGCCCCAGGTATGACAGTTTTGCTTATTGACGTAGCCATTGAGCTGGAAATGGGCCAAATCAGTCAAGATGATTTTTCGGTGAAATTCTGAATCATTTTCATGCATTTCAAGGACGCAATCAGCAAAGATACGGCGTTGTTATGATTGGCCAGCTTGAGTTCCTGTATAAACTGAACTTTATACGCCTTAAGAGCCAAGTCTTTGTGCGAAATACGGTGCAATGACGTTTGTGGAGTGCCCAGATCTAAAAGAACGATGAGTAATGGACAAACCTGAGTCTACTTCAACACTTTGGGCTACAGCAGCAATGCTCTCAGTTGTTCCTGAGCTCGCTTACGTATCTCAAAAGCTACTGTTTTCCAACAATTTCTGTATTGTGGTTCAACAAGGTAGGTGCTTCACGAGGCCCTAGAAATGTTTTAGCTTTACGAATTGTCTCTTGCAGGTTTTCACCATTTTCATAGTGAAATTTAATATTTCCAATGCGTGTTGGAAACCTTTTTTCAATAAATTCTTCTTACTGGCCTGGCTTGACTTGACTTGTCAAATATCAAAAAGTTTGCAGCTTCAAGTGATATCTACCGGAATACCGGAGCTATTCAAAATAACATCTCTTAATGGAAACCCCAACCCTTTCTGTTAAAATGTGATTTTTTTAGCTTTAATATTTTATTTGCTGGTGTGCCTTGCAGTTATGGAGCTCGTGAAAGCTAAAAAAAAAAGATCAAAAACGCTGAAATGGGAAGTCTTGCCCTACCCGCCGTATTCCCCAGTTGTCGCCTCTTCTGACTTCCACCTATTCCGTTCGATGGCACTCGGCCTGGCAGATCAACATTTTCAATCCTTCGAAGAATTGGAAAATGGATTGCTTCATGGATAGCGTCAAAAGAGGACTCCTTTTTTCGAGCCGGGATTCGAAAATTGCCGGAAAGATGGGAGAAAGTTGTCGCTAGCGAAGGACAATACTTTGAATAATATATTGTATCTGTAAGCACTTTTTCGCTATAAACCTTTTAATGTTCGAAAAAACGGCGGAAGCAAAGTTGTACACCTGATATATATATATATATATATATTTTTTGCATTAGTTTATTCATTTGCGCATGTATGTACGTATATATATATGCAAGACAATTCTTACAATAATCACGAATTTCATAATGTTATTTAATAACTATTTTTATGCTTCTTTACATTTTTATTAATCAACGCTTCGTCTCTCTCTTTAAATAAATATTTATTAGATAATATTCTTGTGTTTACTAGAAACTAGCGACTATATTTCGAAAATTTCGTAACAGTGAATAATAATGAGTTTAGTAATATATGTATATACGTATGTATGTATTAAGTAAAATGTTATCGTAATTTTACATATTTAATATTGCAACGTTTTACATAAGCGATTAGTTTAAACTTAATTGTTTTCCATATAGTTAATTTTTCTTTTAATATGTATAAATACATTAATTTACATATGCATAGGTCCGAGGCGCATGGCCCGATCGGTTTTTATCGTTTTTTTTTTTTTTTTTGGGAGCTGGCAAGCTGTGCGTTATAATGAGAGCAAACCAAAAAGTCGGTAACGATTGAGTTTCAATTACAGCGTTCAATACAATTCACACACAGTTATATTATATTTAAGTATATATATGCATATACATATATATACATCTATTTATATACATATATTTATCAATTTATTTATGCTTTAACAATTTGATACCCAAAAACTGTTGGGGCCTTTAGACTTACTCTCGCATCAAAGACGTAAAAATGCCTTGCGCAAGCTTCCTTCAAAGGAACAAAAGAATTTGGTGGCATTTGCATTATAAATATGTAATTCACCGCTTAGAGCTAGGTTACTCTCTCTTTTCTATCAACATAAAATATTTGCACACAAATTATAAAAAAAAAAAATTTTTATGAACACGTATGTGTGTTTTAACATATGTATATATGTATGTCGAAAATGAAAATGAGCAATAAATAGCAACATAAAGTGTTATACGTAGATATATATGTAAGTTATTGGACCAGAAGGGAAAAACTTACTATAAAAAAAATAGAAATTTAAAAGCGTTTGTTTTGCAACATAATTTTTTCTTTTTTTTCAAATGACGATTTCTTAGTGTTTTTTTTTCCAAGAAGAGGTGTTATTTTGAACTTCGCCAGTAATAAAAATGGTACCATACACGCTTCAACAACGCATTGAAATTATTAAAATGCATTAACAGCATTATTCTGAATAAAAATTCCCATTTTTGCCTCTTCGCCAACCAAAAAAAGCCAAAAAAAGGGAATTTTTCTCTTTCGCCTTTCCTTGTGTTCTAAACAAGCTTCGAAAAGGAGAAAAATTCGGACTGGACTATTTAGTATTGGGTTGTATAAAAGTTTCAACGGAAAATCTTGTTGACTGATGAAGCCCATTTCCAACTCGAAATTTCCAACTTCCTATGTCAATAAGCAAAACGGTGGCATCTGGGACTCAAAAACCCAAGTTTCTCCTACATTCTCAACGGGTAACTGCTTGATGCGGTCTATTGTTCCATTGGATTTCACTTTCTTTTTCGAAAATCAGGCTGGCATTGATCTGGACAAGCAACGAAACTTATCGATCTTTTTTAGAAAAAAATTGCTTTGAATATCAAAATAGAACCTCTTTTTGGAAAACCCTGCATATTAAAGGTTCATTTAGAATAATACAAAACGATTTTGAAAAAAGATATATTTAGAGTTGGGTCCTTTTCATACTAAAATAACCTTACATATGTACATAGCTTAGAGATAAATAAATTAAACAAAGGTTTTACAAAACAATAATTTGCAGCACTAATCATTGGCAGCCATGCGTTCTTTTACTACAAGCCACAAGCTTTTCTTTATTATTTAAGCTTTTCATTTTTAACAAAGTTTTTTTTTTTTAGTTAAGCTTTTCACTTTTTAAGGCCTACGAAAATTATAACAGTTTTAAGTAATCGCTTACATTTGCTCTATTGTATTTTTTATAAGTAACCTTACATTTATGTATATATATAAATGTTGTTCTTTAGTTGTTTTTTAAGTAATAGTTTTATTTTCTTTTACATTTGATTTCCACTTTTCACGTTTCTCAAAAAAGAAAAGAGTAACACCAAACCAGAATATACATTTTTTGAGTACCATTTTGCTCGCTCTTAGTAGTTTAGTGGTTTTAATCTTCAATTGTCAACTGTGAATTTCTGTTTGTTCAAATCAAGTAAAAAAAAAAAATAGTTAAATTAGGTAAACACAAAATTATAATTTAAAACTAAATAGTTTACTAGCCGCTGACTTAAATAGAAAAAAAATAAAATATTCTGATCACACTGAAAACATTTGCGGTACTTAGGCTAGCACAGACAGTGTTGCCGTAAATTTATTGTATAATATTTTGTCTTCTAACCGTGCGACGTCACGTCAATGTGTAAAAAATATGGCTTTCAGCTATCAACCCGCAAAATATCACCTACTGACACTTTACTCGCGCAATAATATTTGTATATTTTTGTTAGTAAATTCTTGTTACAAGCGTGCAGTTCAGCACAGTTTGCAACACACTATCATACGCAATATTGCTTTCGTCAGGATTGTTGTTGTTATTATTGAGCTTTCCATGTGCGTTAATGCTTGCCATGCACCATACTGTTTGCGAATTTCATAAGTTTTGCAGGAAAGCTAATAGTTTAGTCTCATAATTTTTGTTGGATTCCAAGTTGCGCAGTGAATGTCTCTCCTCGGGGAATACATGCAGATCATACGGTTTGTTAGCACGGTTCAAGGCCGATACCAGCTGAGAGGTGTGATAAAAGTGTACATTTTCATCGATGAGACCGTGTATGAGCAAAAGTCGATTTTCTCTAAAAAAAAAAAAGAAAATAAATATAAAAAACATGTACATATATGTATATATTATGTGAACGGTGCAACATTTCACACAAAAAAAATAAACAAATAAAATAAAAAGGGGAAAATTAAATCAATAAAATTAAATAAAATAAGATAAAAAAATAAAATAAAAATATAATAAAAATAAAATTAAATAAAATAAAAAAATGAAATAAAAAAATAAAATAAAAAATAAAAATAAAAAAATTAAAATAACCGAGAAGTTAACATTGCCTGCTGCCATTCGGAAAGCTTGGGTTCAAATCCTTGTGTCGTACTAACATCCAAAAGAGTTAAAGAAAATTAACTTCAATAAATAATTAAGCTAAATTTTCTAATTGCCTCCAAATGTATTTCCGACATGAAAATCAAAAGCTCCTCATAAAAAAACCATCAGCCGTTCGGAGGCGGCTTGGTATAAACTGCATTTATTGGATAAACATCAAGACGCAAAAATCACAAATTGGAGGAGGAGCTCGGCCGAAAATCGTTTCAGCGGTTACAAACGCGCAAAAATAAAAATAAAAATGAATAAAATAAAAAAATAAATAAAAATTAGATAAAAAACTTAGAATGAAATTGTAATATAAAAAATAAAATAAGCAAAATAAAATAAAAATAATAAAAATAAATTAAGTAAAAAAATTAAACAAAAAATTAGATAAAAAAAAACATAAAATAAAATTGTAATATAAAAAAGAAAATAAGCAAAATAAAATCAAATAAAAAATATAATTATAAAAAAATAAAATATAAAAATTAAATAAAAAAATTATAAAAAATAAGAAATAAAATAAAAAAACATGAAAGAAAAGTAATATTCGGCATAACCGAACATTTGATACCTTGCTGTACATTTTTTACTGTTATTTATTAGCTGAAATCGGTGAAAAATAGTTTTATTCAGAGCAATCGACAATGTCCAAGGGGCCAGAACGAGTACTTCCATTTTCGTTAAGAAAAGCATTTTTCGTTAACAAAAGCATTTTTCGTTAAGAAAAGCATTTTTCGTTAAAACAAAGAATTTTTCGCTAAAAAAGCATTGTTCGTTAAGAAAAGCATTTCTCGTTAAAAAAGCATTTTTCGTTAAAAAACATATTTCGTTAAAATAAAGCATTTTTCGTTAAAACAAAGAATTTGTCGTAAAACAAAGAATTTTTCGTTAAAAAAACATTGTTCGTTAAGAAAAGTATTTTTCATTAAAAAAAAACATTTTTCGTCAAAAAAAGGATTTTTCGTTAAAAAAAAGCATTTTTCGTTACAAAAGCATTTTTCCTTAAAAAGCAATTTTCGTTAAAAAAAAAAAGCATTTTTCGTTAAGAAAAGCAAATTTTCTTCACACCAAACACACGGAACAGGTGTGTAGCAGAATCGCTTAGCCTATGTAGTGTGTCTGGCAACACTATGGATGTATTATCGTCTATGTAAGAGCCAATGGGTTAGACAATTTAACCTAACCTAAACTTGGCTATAGGTTTCGATATTTCCGTATTGGAAGTGAGTATTTTCAGAACTTGCCCGTTTGCATTGGAAGAGTAGTGAAAAATCTAAGATTTACTTGTACCAAGTTTAATGGTTAAACAGATTTCAATCAGACAAACAGACATGTCTTATACGATTACGTATAGATTCCCTCTAATAGTTTGAGAGGTATAAGCTCCTTTTAACTCATAATAATAATATGATGTAAAGTTTTTAATTACTCTTCGGGAAAAGCGTGTACATAGTTCAGCACGGAACCTGCCGTATAACCACGTTTATTGTTCAACGGCAAATCCATATATCGTTCCGTATACCCCGTGTCGTAATATTCCCAATTTGTGACCGGCGCTCCAGCAATAGCAACCTTGAAGACATCTGGATACTGCACAAGACCCATTAGGCTAAGGTAGCCGCCTAAAAAAACAGACAGTAATAGTTTTCTATTCTTCTTCTATAAACTGCACGCACCATATGACCAGCCATGTATAGCTACGCGATTCATATCAATGTAACCTAAGCGGTCTGCTAATATGCGTAATGCATCCACTTGATCGTTCAGCTCCACTTGACCCATACGGCAGCGTATGTGAGTTTCAAACTTCAGTCCGCGATGCCGTGAGCCGCGAGAATCTATGCATATAACACAATAGCCTTGTGCCGCCAACATATGCATGCGCAACTGATGTTTACCCTTCGAAAATGTATACAAATTATTGTACAAATCAAAATTAAACATACATATACCAACTTTAAATGTATTATTGACAGTTTGCACTTCAGGACCACCATATACATTCAGCACTGTTGGGTATTTGATGCCAACATGGAAATTATGTGGCTTGAACACCATGGCATATACGATTTCGCCCGATGGCAATTGTGGTCGATAGACTTGTGGACAATATTGCGGTTCCGGTTTACCGCCCTCGTGTATGTAGCCCATCAAAGACAATTGTATACCATTGACACCACCATTCTGGCATGTCTGTGCGACACGCATCACTTTGCTCGACGGCAATCGTTGTATGTTACAATAGACTTGCAACATCAATTGACATGTCTATAGGTGAAATGAAAAATGAAAAAATATATTATTTAACTTAAATAAACCATGATTAATTGTGGTACCTCATTAAATTCCACTTGATATGAATAGCCGGGTTCCGTGAGCAATCGTATGTGTTCTGGACGCTGCAAACTAACAACGTATAAGTGTTTTTCCAATGGCGTATCGCGCAGACCAATAAAGTACACTAACTGCTGCGCTTTATCCACCCAAATGTTGCGATGTAATACCTCCCATTCGCCAGAGGTAAGTGCAACCTAATTAAGAATAATGTTAATATGTAAGTGTGATATTCCTATGGCAGCAAACACAGGTTTTTTACTTTGTTAATAATTCTTGGATGCAACGTCACGCATTCAATAAAATCCGTATGCATATCCGTGGCAGAAGATGTTGAATTTGTTCGACTATTCATTTCAAAATTATTACTAGCGCCATGCGAGTCTTTATAACCATTTAGCGGCCCTGTACTCAAGCTGGATGTGACAAGATACAAATGCCTGAAGCCAGTCTCTTCAGAAGCCCACAAAAACGTTACAGTTGTATCAGTGATTTCAAGAAAATAAAGCAAATCATGCACATTGACCCAAGTATCCGAGGTCTGTGAGTAAATGACCTATAAGAAAATTATGTAAAAACATTTTTAATAAAAAAAAAAAAAAATATCAGCATAAAATGTTTGGAGAAATACCTGTAGCGATGAAACTGCTCGACAATATGGACTTTTCCAGCTATGGTCAGCTGAGCCCGATGGTGATGATGCCGAACTGGTGTATGTTTCGCAAAAATTATCCAATGGAATAAGCACCAAATCCAACCTTTGCTGTTTACGATTCATACCCTGCATCCAAACACTATAAAGACATACATATATATTGGCAAATAAGAACGGAATAATAAAAAATCTAAACATTTTACTATGCAATAACCCTCAAGAGACAAGTTATTTAAATGACAACTCACTAATTAGAATCAGGCGTCCATCCTACTCGCACTATATACTCCAACCATGGAAATACTACCGAAAGCGAATATGGTAAATCCTTGATGCATACCTCGCTAATTTGCAATGACTCATTTAGAACGAATTGTACTAATTTTAATTTGGACTTTGCGTTAGGTGTACCAGCGCGGGGAAAACGATATTCTTCCATTTCGCCAGGCATTCCTTGTGACGATGGGAATGTGTATAGGCAAACATCGGATTCATCCACCTCCTCGTACACGATGCGATATACACCATCTTTAAATAAAAGTATATATGAATTTTAGCCAAATATAAACAAAAAAATCTGTTATCTGTAGAATGGAATATAATTAATATATATATAATAAAGTACCACAAAGTTGGTCACTCTAGCGGCAGTGATTTTCGGCACACACACACACTTTTCAGACAAACATTGGTTCTATAGTTTTAAGTCGCATGAGAAAGGAATTTTAATGAAAAGAAATATATATTTTTGAAAACTCACTTGTGGAATTTTTTGCAACTGCAATGATGTATTTAGTAAAATTACTGTACTTTAAAATATTTTTTTTTATGTTAATAAACGAATAGTCTCTTTCTTTCGATTATTCGAAAATTATTATTAATCATTTTTAGACAATGAAATTGGTAATGTAACCATGTGTACAGTGACCTTATGTGTTATTTCTCCAAATGATGCAAACAAAAATTTAAAATCTAATTTTCGGAAGTAATTTTCTAACGGTTTATTAAGGGATGCTCCTTAGTGTGTAATTTCAAAAAAAAAAGGATCTTTTTTCATATTTCGGTAGAGTGAAAACGGTCATTTTAAGCGCGTTTTTCTAACGACATTTTCCGAATTTGCTGCAATGATTACTCAAAAAGAAATGAACCGATCACTATCGAGTTTTTTTCCATGTTCTTTATATAGTTCTCAGATCAGATCAAAAAATCGAATTTTGAGAGGCCAAAAACGACTTAAATTTTGGGTAAAATTCGAGTATTTTTTTAAAACGCCGCTATATTGTCAATTTTTAATTTTTTTTCCTAGGACATTGTACAGACAATATTACCTTAACAAGAATTTTTTTTTAGATTTCATCCACGGAGAAGCCCGCAATCACTGCAGCAGTGAAGGACCTTTTTTCGCGTCGTTGGAAATCGACTATAACTTAAAAAATCTTTAATTTTTTGCTTCAAAAATTTGACTGTATATTCTTAAAACATGTAGAAATATATTCTTAAAATTTTGAAATAATTGATAAAGTATTTTTTTTTTTTTAATAAAAATTCCCAAAAATCACCCTTTTTTAGGCCATTACACTAGGTGTGACCCTTAATGTACATATGGGTGTATGTATATGAGAATTTTCATTATTGACAATTTATATGTATATAAATTATTTACCATCGGACTGCGGCTGCCACCAATAACCCTGAAAGCGACTAAACTCCTCAAGCATTATGTAAGATGGCACTCCCGCGCTGAGTGGATCGTCCGCTATGGAACGGCGGCCATCATGTGCGAAGGTCAAACGCTCCTCATGACCGCTTACAGTATGTGTTACCCATATATCACTACCACTTATGTAGGCAATTAAATCCGAGTTTTGTGGGCATATTTGCGGATCTAAAGCCGCCCATTGGGGACATGTGCGCAATTGTCTGGGGAATAACGGGCTGGTCTATAAAAATGATATATATATATACAAATATGGTTTTAGAATCCTAAGTAAAATGATTATAATAAGACTAAACTACGATGTGGTAAATATACAAAATATGTTAATGTGTTGATTAAAAATATTATATAATAATGATATAATATAATATGTGTATGTATTATTTACATGCCTCACCTGTACATATGTACATATGTATGTATAAAATTAAATTAAATTAAACAAAAGCAATAAAAACAAAAGTCAGCAAGTCACTACGCCGTACCATAAATATAGGCATGTTTTCCATCTTATCACAAATAATTGCTGAAGTGCAATGACCGGTAACAATAATCTTTAAAAAATTCATAGTAAATGATTCTCACGAAATCTATATATATATATATAAACACATGTGTAAATATCGTTTTGAAAAGGAAAATTTTAACAATTTCCAAACTCTTCCTCCAACTTAGTGTGAGCGTCTTGATGTTTCCGGCCTCCCAACGGCCGATGAATTTTTAAGAAGAGTTTTTTTTTATTTTTGTATTATAGCCTTCCGAATGATGGTACACTCGGTTATCACAGCTGTTCACAAACATTTTATGACGTCAAATATTATATATAAGTATGTCCCAATCAAATAAAAAAAAAACTTCAAACATTTTGTTATCATCATCAGTAAAATAGAGGCTGAACTACAGAGCAGTCCAAATTTATACACACATTTTATTAGTTGAAATCGAAAGCTTTATTAGCAATTATAATCACAGCAAACTTGACCTTTGGCCAGGCAATAAAAAAACTATTGCCATAAGGCATATTATATTTTAATCTAAAATACCTAATTGTTTTATTTATTGTTCCATGTTGATATATAATTTAGGCCCTACTACATCTGTTTTATTGCTATATTCTTATCAAAGTAATTTCTCTAAGCAAACAATAATAACTTTAATGATTCATAATTAGAGATGGAAAGATCAAATAGTTTTACGTTTTTTATTTAATACTTTTATTAAGAATTAAAAAATTATATTGATTAGCGGTTTCTTTTTAATTGTGAAAGGGGAGTGTTGCACTTACATTGTACCCTGTATCAAAGCATTGATACAAATCACTGAAGCAGGGGAAGACGATTTTCCCACTTGGCTTGTGTAATTCAAAGGATGTTATACCCCATGTTGACAGACGTTTCCTCTCCTGGAGTAACTGAAATTCTCTTGACCATGGATTAACACCTCCGCTGGCACACGCAACACTTGACATTGGTTGTTGTAATACTATTTTCCATTGAAGTCTAAAAATATATATGGTTGGCTACTTTTGGACAGCTTATATAAATTAGAAACTTTATCAAACCTCTTGTTTTCATTATTTGTTAGAAAAGATGAGGGCAATATCGGAGATGATGCTTGAGAAGACGATGGAGATGGCAAACGGCTGCCTGTGTTCCCAGTGGCATCTTTATCTTTTACATGCGTTGATCCATCGCCAGTAGATATGCCAATAGTGTTACCTAATATTATGCTTTCAGTTCTACCATTAATCTCTGTATTGAGTGAATCGCTTTGCACCGTTGTTTCTTCTGTAGCGTTCATATTTATATCTGCATAAAGTAATGTTGGCTCCCAGGCATTTGGGGGTGTACTGAGAAAATAACAACGCACTCGGCCATCAGATAAAGTACGGAACTGTATATTTGATGGGGACATGCTAGATAAATTTATTAACCGTTTGCGCATGTCATTGACAATTGCTTTAATCTCCGACCACGTCTTTTTTGGCGTAGGTGCCGGTACATTACGGTCATCGTCTTCATCATCATCCTCACAGTCATCGTCATCATCTAATTCATCCATATTAGGTGGTGTACCACTTGTTGGGGAGCTTAGATGATTTGAGAGAGCCGAAGCAGCAGCCACGACTTTGGCAGCGGCTTCTGCAGTAGCCGCTTGTGCAGCGGCAGCAACCGTGGATATAGGAGATGGTAAAGAATTGAAAGCCATTCCTATAGAGGAGTAGAAGGCATTTGCGGTCGAGCTAATACTGCTCGGGGTACTGACAGCGCTTTGTGTTCGATCACCAGATACACGCGATGTAAAGCCATCTAAGAGATTCGCTAATGATGATGTAGTGGACACACGATCCAATGGTGGTGATTGCGATAACTGTGTCAGTGGGTTTATGGGTATAACAGCCCCGGCACCTGTCATTATGGGCGTAACAATATTTCCGTTACCTTTATTTGGGCTTACAATCCCAACAGATTTGTTAATATTGCTAGTATGGTTTGTCAAAATTACGTTACCATCGCTGTTGGTGCTACTTAGTGGCGTGCTATTGACTCCTGAAGATGTTGTAGTGGTCGATGCTGATTTCAAAGAATTTCGCTGTTGACGCAGGGATGTGTCCATTTTAATTTAAATAGATATTATTTTTTGTTACTAAAGCATGAAACTTTTTATTTTCGGAAAGGTTATTTCACCACGAATTTTTTTCTTAAATTGTTCGTCATCAAATTACATACATTCGTCCTAATACAATTTAATTACTATATAATATGGCAACTTAGTGTCTCGAGTTTTATTATCTCTGTAATATTTCCATAATTACCACTTTAAAACACAATGCGTGCTAATTTCATTTATCACTCAGACACTTTAGTGTGTCGTATAGTCTTCCGCAACTAATTAATAAAGTATCTTAATTTAATAACATGTGGTTCTAATCAAATTTTTAAATAGTTAATTGATTTTTCCTTTTGTCACCCGAACTTCCTTTAAGTCCATATAAGTATGTATTGTATGTACAAACATATGTATAAACATATAAACATAAACAATGTGAGTTAACCTACGTAAAACTTAAAATTAGCACAAATATTATTCGTTTCTGGATTTGTTTTTCTTTGTTTTGATGAGAGCCTCCGATACCCAATTTGAAACAATGACATACATTCTTCCAAAAAAAAAAAAAATTAAACACACAAAATAGATTTCCAACACATTTGCATTGCAGAAAATAGTACAAATTGGTTACTCCTTTACTATTAGCTGCCCTATTCCACATATAAAAACTTTGCCTAGTCACTTTTGCAATAATGAGCGACGGAATATTTTGTACGATATACGATTTAATGCATTCTGATGCGTTGTTACATTTTTGTTATTGCTACAGCTGCCAATCATCTTTGCTGCTACTTTCTGTCCGTCCAGTAAGTCTACTGTTGTCACCCTGACAGTTGGTCTTGTTTTCATTAAGTTGTTTTTACCAATGACAGTTGTTCTGCTTTATTCCAATAAGTGAAAGCAAACAGTCGAATAACACAAAGACATGGTACGTATGTATTTAAATATATGTGTAAATCGGAAACTAGACCCTAGCAAATTACAAAATTTAGCAAAACACACCAATAAATTTCCTTATTGAGAGCATCCGTGAAATATTTGTGCAAAAGTAATGCTTCGCGTATCTATTTAGAACTTATTTGATCCCAGTTTACATATATGAACGTAGGAATTTCCAACAAACCAATCCCTTTAATGTGCTTAAACAATAACCATTTTTAATTTTTAACACACTTTCTCACAGAACTTCTTTTGCAAACTTTACTTTCATGCCATTTTCACTTTATTTTATACGAACTATTTTAATTTTCATAAATCTAAATACGTCCACAATTTAATAATTGCGTATTTCCAGTTGTTTTTCACTTGAACTGCCAGATTGCTTGAATTTTTGACACTAGGGATTATCTGATTTAATCCAATCACAATAGTTGCTCTGACAAAGAACGTAAAGAAGTACGCTCCAACCCATATCGTAAATATCTAAGAATGAAAATGCAGGAAGCTAATTTTGATTTTCTGTGTGATAAAATAATTGTACATTCTGTGAAAATATGCTAAACAAGCCTAGATGATAACCCAAATCCTTCGAGTTCGGGCAATGTAATGTTTGTTGTTCAGCTTTTTCTTCTGTAGACATGTATTTTACTATACAAAACCTTAGTATACTGTAGTGTCGACTATCACTATATACCTAATAAAATCTCGCAGTAGAAGTTTATGTGAACCAATAATCTGAACTCGGCCTTAAACCGTTTGGTAACTTTGTATGGACTTTCCCAAATACACTGCAATATCCGAGACAAGATATTCTTTCGTTGAAGGCTATGCAGCATTATCAGATCTACTTTCGGAAATCTTTGGGCTTTTAAACGCGAAGATTCGCAGAGTTATTAACAACCACAAGCGGAAAAAGATGGAGGATCACTTCAGGACCTGCAACCTCTCCTCTGGGGAACCACGTTCTGGGCTACAGTCAAGTCGTTGTCAAACCCTACGGGGCGCGATGACCGGGTGGAAATTTCATTCGGTGATAGCGCCTGCTCGGACCCGAAGAGATGCGTGAGCTATTTTTGCCGGGAAGGGTGGTCCCGCTACTCAAACCGGAGAATCAAGCCAACAAATAAGAGTCTTATCTGCCGATAACTCTCATCTTCCCCGTAGCGAAGACATTTGAGGCCTTGCCGCTCCCGACCTTTACTCACCATCTGCATTCAGCAGCAAATCAGCATGGCTTCCGAAACAGCACAGCACAAAACACCATAAACACCCAGATAGGCAATGACCTTAACCAAAACCGACCCTGCGCGCGAACTGTCCTGGTAGCAGTGGATTTGTCAAAAGTTTGACATAGTCAACCATTAGTGCTACTAACAGACATTACGGAATCCTCTTTACCGCCGGGGTTGCAGAGCTGGGTCGTGGGCTACCTTAGTGGTCGACAATCGTCAATAATATTCCGAGGCGAAACCCAGAAAAAGTAAACAGGGGGTTCTCCACATTAAGGTGTCCCCTCCCCGCCACTGTTAAATTTTTACATTTCGAAGTAAGTTGCCTCCTTTTGGTGGAGGACAAAAGGAGGCAACTTACAAAGCAATTGGCCGGCCGATCGTAAACTATGCTGCACCGATCTGGGCGCCGGAGATCAACGAGACGCAGATGAAGAAGCTACAAGCTTGCCAAAACACCGCCCTCAGGGCTGCGACAGAAAACCTGCTGATGTCGCCGGAGTATCACTTGCACAGTAAAGCATCTATGCTACGAGTTAAGGGGCATAATGCTTTGCTGTGCAAGCAGCTCCTATTTGGATGTTACCGCAGGGACCATTCCAATAGACACCTAATAGTAGCTGAACCTCCACCTAGGAAAATCAAAAAGGGAGTGTTCGACTTAAAAAACACCATCCCGCAGCATGTACAACAAACCCTGCGGGTTAGGGGCTCAAAAATTTAACCGCGGTAAGGCATGCCTGTCGTAAAAGGCGACTAAAATCCAATAGTTCCCGCGACTGTCGGGTCTTTATACCGGAACGACCCGGATTTTTATCCGGTCAAGGACTGCCACTCCCGCAACTTTCCCCAAAAAGTACTTTACGGTTACAACAACAACAACAACGTCGAAACAGCTCGATGACCTCGCCAACTTAAATTAATCAAACCTGTACCTAAGCGGGGTTACCGAACCGCTACAACAACAACATAAAAGTTGAAGTAAATGCATTTTCTTCATTCAATTTTAATGAATTACATAAACAAAATAATAAGCCAAGGCAAATTCACCTAGAAATAAGCCATATCGCTGCAAGCCCAGCAACGTTAGGCGAATTCAGTTTTTGACATTTTGAATGCATAGTTTTTCTTTGTAGCCAAGTTAACAATAGAGTTCCTTATTTGTCGCCAATCCGAGAATCAACATGATCTTTTCGTTATGAAACGAAATTAACGGAGCAGAAAGCAAAGTTTAAACAACTTCTGAATAAAATTTTTCCCGTCTTTTCCTGCAAAACTATCTTAAAAACATAAAATTGCAATAAGTGTTTAGGAAGCTATCGATTGTGTATCGACTAGAATTATTTAGAATGGATTCGATACTATAACTTTCAACCAAGTGGCACAATCGATCAGAAATTATCGATCGTACATTTTACTGATAAGCAGCTGTTTGTTTAAAAATAGATGACTTTTACCGATACACTTAGCTCAGGTCAAAATAAACAATTTTTATTAAGAAATAGAGCGCGTTGTGCTCCCATTGGAAAGTTATTATGTTCAGTTCATTTTTTGCTGTAACGGGTACGATATTGCGAAAAATGTCATCAGCAAGTTTATCTGAAAAACATGGTTTCGTTGTTAATGGAAAAAAAATTCTTGGAGCAGCGCTCAATTACATGTATGTAAAATATATTTATCTAGATGTACATATGTACATTAGGACCATTAAGTTACTTAACTGAAATAACTTCCTTTGTTAGGGATATTGTACGAGCCCGCAATGTTCCTGTTCCAACTGAGCCACTTCTGTTTCTAAAACCCACAACAACCTACGTTGTTGAAGGCAAACCTATTGTGGTATTTGAATTAACTATAATATCAATTTGTATTACGTCTAATTCTTGCATGTAATATTTTTAAGATTCCCAGAGTATTTTCGAAAGTGGCACATGAGGTTGAATTAGGTGTTATCATTGGAAAAAAATGTAAAAATATTACCAAAGAAGATGCGCTCAATTATATTAGTGGTTATTGCTTGGCGCTTGACATGACGGCACAATGTAATTTGGGCTTAGCACGAAAAAACGGACATCCATGGAGCTTAGGTAAAGGTTTTGACACCTCAACGCCAGTATCGGGTTTCATATCAACAAACGAGATTAAAGATCCTCATAATGTGCCACTTTGGTTGAAAGTAAACGGAGAACTTCGTCAGCAAGGAAACACAGCAGACTTAATATTTAAAGTAGACGATCTTATCGCCTATGCTTCAAAATATATGACACTTGAACCAAACGATCTTATTTTGACTGGCACACCCGACGGTGCTTTAGCGGTAAAAGGCGGAGACATTATTGAGGCTGGCATTGGCGATAGTGTAAGGATAAAGTTTATTGTCGTTGGTGAAGATGTCGAAAAGCCTAGTGCATTGTAAAACAGACACGTATAAAAATAAATTAATTACTTTTTATTAAGTAAACTACGAGGCCTTGTTGTTTGTATGAATTGAATATTTTTTATACAACAAAGAAAAAATGGTAGAAGTGACAGCTGTTTCGGAGATCACCACATCTCCTCATCAGACTTGTTATGGCAGGTATAGAACCAACGGGTCCTGACTTAACAGGCGATTGTTCTACAAATGCGCCAACATCAGCCATATAACTGTTGTTGTATTATTCAATCCATTATTAGCCAACAACTATTAAGTGCGCTAATTTAGCCACTATTTTCTTAACAGCTTGGTTAGTGTGTTGTGTTGGAATTCTCTATATTAATTATATTCAAAAGCTCAAGATATGTTGCACTCTAAATTTATCTATACGTTCACCTTTGCAAGAGAAAAAATAATGTAATTATTACATTTTTACCGTCTTAAAATATGAAAATTAAATGGTTATTTCTTTATGGCGCTTTAGTGTTTCGATATGTTTCATAACAGCAATAAGTTCTCGTTGTATATTGGCACTTTCTAGGACGAAATCCAAACATTTTTTGAAGAGCTCAGACGCTGATCGTAGACTACTAGGTGGTAATGAAGTAAACCATTGCATTGGTTCAACGAATTCCTTTTCTTTATCAACAGTATGACGTCTGATGATTAAAAAAAAAGATTTATTTTTTACCAAAAATACTTATTTGCGTGCCACTTACATTGATGTGAACTCGACGTTAGATATTTTCGTGTCATTCTGTTGCTGTACCACTTCGCAGAGCGCACTGAATGTGTTACTGTTTTCAGTGGGTAACTGTGCTGAACAGATCGTTTGCGAACCCTGAATATAACGAGTTTTTGCCAGCATTAACTGCCCATTATTCATTAATCTTTCTATATTTACTCGACACACCGTCTGTTGTTCTATTAAATCGAGCATTTCTAAATATAAGGCGTCGAGCAGATTCCCAATATTCTCCTTTGTTGTTGGCATTATGTTCTTCTTTGAAATATTTGTATTCTCTTTGATCACTAATAAAAAATTTTATTTCGGATTATCAGCAGTTCAATATTTTATTTTAGTTGCATTAGTATACGCATGTCAACAAATCATATGACTAGTATTAACTTCTGTTCCTTCAATAACAAATGCAACGTAGTTATTGTGACCTGGCCGTTTATTTGTTGAGGCTGCCACTAAAAAAAATTTGTAAAGTTTTATAAGGGAGCTGAGTGTTACATAAAAATACATTAACGAATTTTGTTTAAAAAGCCATTGTTTAACCCAATTCCTTCGAGTTCGGTCATCGGGTTATTAAATAAGAGTCACCAAATATGTTGTGCAATTCTTATTGTAATGTACTGATCTATTATTATTACACACGTAGTATACGACTATACTGTTTTACACCGATGTGTCGCTAATGAGTTCACTTTGTAACTAATCCACTTCTGTGTTGGCCTCAGTCTTATATGCCTCAGCGATTGCTAGAACACAGCTCTGGAAATTTCTTATATATTCTGATGAGATACGGATTGATAACTCGATAATTGAGCTCTAGAATCTGCTGTAGATATCGATATCCCTTTTCCATCTGCCCTCCATCTAAGTTTGATCGGGACGATGGGACCCATTTGCTGTTCCAAAAGCTGTAAGCCTTCACAAGTGAACCATTTTCATCTTGTTTCTTGGTCTTGCAACAATTGGTACACTACGTCGTTTAGCCGTTTGATTACCTTATAGCGACCTTCCCCATTGCATTGAAGCTTCGGGGACAACATTTCTTTCGAAGAGGTTTGTATAGCAACATTAAATCTCCATCTTGAAAAACTTCCGAGCTCATCGCCTTATCATACCTTCTCTTAATCTTTTCACTCATAACTTGATTTCCTCAGAAACAGTATTTGTAGATATCCCAATCATCCAGATGGTAGCCCACGTCCTTCCTCAAATGCTCTTTCTAGGTCGGTTACATCATTCTACCCTGCTATCTGTTTGGGAATGTCAAAGTATTTTTCAAGTTTTCTGAATACGCATCTTTTGGAACACAGCCAATTCAAAATATTGTCCATGGTCAGAGAGCAGTTCTGTAGGAAAACTGTTTATGGCAACCCAATTGTAGGTGAAGGTGTCCCTGCAGCTTTAACTTCCTGACTTTGAACTGTTTATTACTTTAAAATACTCCATTGCGCCCAGCATGGCTTTGTAAATCAACTATCTCCTAACATTTGCTGCTTACTAGGCGAAGTCATAAATTTGCAATCCACCAAGTTATCCGCGCTGCATGAGCCGACCTGACTCGGAAGTCTTGCACAAACTCTTACTTGGGGAAATATTTGTTGCAATCCACCAACCCTAGTAGTTCCTCTCCATCTTCCCTATAGACCGGCTATAGCAGGCAACTATCTTCTCTTGCTCACCAATTATCTTTGAAAATTTGATTGCATTTTGGTCATTTTGCAATGTAAGATTTTAGAACTAATCTTGCAATTAATGAGGTAATAATATCTTGCGCTCACCGACATGTTTGCAGATCGTTCTCGTAATTCGAGAAATTTGCAATATTGCCAAGATAAGAATATTAAAATAATAAAATTACTGTATAAACGTGGAAAAAAGTATTTTGAGAACGCAAAGATCAAAAACCGCTTCTTACTTTAAACTGAGAGGAGTAACGGTAACCAATTTAATTTTAGGAGAGAGACAACAACAAAGGCATTAAGAGAGCAAAAGCTTGCCTTTACATATTTTCCATTATTGTAAGTTTTTGTTATATATAGGCAAAACACACGAACTTAGTGAAGTTATAAGAAGTGAAATTGTGCCTCAATAAAGAAAAGAATGATTCCGTTAAAAATATGACCGGATCGGAAAGACCATGTAAAACAACGCCTATCGAAGACAGCATAATATTAAAAAAAATTTAAGAAAATGTTTTGATTGCACCTGAAGAAGTGGCGGTTGAACTTAAAGAAGAGAATCATGAAATATCAGTTCGTCGAAAAACTGCAGAAAGACTACTAAAAGAATGCGATTTTCATCGTCCAATACCATCCATTTCAGCAAAAAACAAGTTGAAACGGTTGACGTTTGCCAAGTCCTATTTAAACAAGCCGCAATCGTTTTGGGAACAAATGTTATGGACAGATGAAAGCTTTTTGGAATACTACGGTTCTAAGAAAAAAATTTACTGTGTGTTATTAAAGAGTGCTCGTTAAAAATTTAGGCCTGTATGCGAACGGATCTTTAATGTTCTGGGGTTGCATGTGCTTCAATGGCTTGGGTGATTTGATACCAATTGATGGAACAATGGACAAATATTTACGAGTTTAAAATAACCACGTTTTTAGTTCTGGTGACCGGCTCATTGGACAATTATTTGTACTGCTGCAGGACAACGCTCCATGGCACAAGGCCATTGGGTTGGCCGCCCCGATCTAAATATTATATAGAACGTGCGGGCTTGTATGAAAATAAAACACAGCTCAGATCTATCAAGCATGGGAGAAGAGACGATTTCAGAGGCTCAAGGACTTTGGCAGGATATCTCATTGGAAACATTACAAAATTTGTCCAGCCACAAAAATCAAAGTTTAAATACACAATTTTCTGAACAGTTATAGATAACATATAGAATATACATATATTGAAAAACTATGTTCCGACATGATTACTGCTCCGTTAAATGAAAGCAATTTTTTTGCTTTAGTTGAGTGCGTGATGTCTGGTTGCGCTTGCATGCAAAGAAATGGAATGGGCACGCGATCGGCTGAAATATTGGTTGTTGAACTATTGCAATTATTGTATAGTTCTAACTTTCAAGTTATTTTTGAGGTAGTATTTATTTTCCAGACGTATGTCTGTATAGTGGAAACAAGTACAGACGAACATTTACGCATAGTTTTACCAAGCAATCTTCCTCCTCGGCCCGGCTTCCATAGCTTCGTTATTCGTCAAGCGGACAATATAAGATTATTCTCTCAATATATTCTTGGTTACAATATCCTATTTCTTTCTCGTATCTTGTAACCATCAGATCACCTAAGTTTTTCTTCAAGATTTTAAGCATTTCTTTAAGATATTACTCACTCATTGCTTTTTCTTTAAGATAGGATGGTCTGCGAGAGGTCAACATGGTGAAATCAACTTGTCACATTACAGCTATATCTTCTGGTCGGTTTTTATTAAAAAGAATGGTAGAAATATACAAGTAAAGATGAGATCAAATAGCGTTCCTCTGACACTTTGCAGGATTACTTATTGCATATTATAACTATATCTATGTATAAGCAAGAAGTTTTTTTAACCTCTAATCCAGTCATTAAACTAACTGCAAGGTTCTTTAACAAACAAATTGTTATTTACATCAACACTGAAAACCCCTGAGCTCATCAAAATCAATATTTTTCATTCATTCGTTATAAATCAAATTATTTGGTTATTTTTTTTTTAAACACACACAAGCGTTTATTTCCAAATACAACGCTTCCATTTTATCTTTTAAGGTATTTCATTTATGTAAATAATATACTTGGTTAGCTAGTAGCACTTTTACATCGTAGTATTTCCAAAGTTGTAATTAAAGATAAAATGGTTGAAATGCTTGTTTTGTTGAAACGTTTTATTCTTTGTTTATTAAAAAAATTAATAATCGCGCTGACATCTAAATATACTACTGCGGCTTCCTTCTAAAAGAACAACCTATAAACAGAAAAAAATGTTTTGGTTATAAGTTGTTAATTACACTCTTTTATATATTTAAAACATACCCTCAGTCAGTTTAGCACGTCCACCTGTGGGTTGGCACAGGATTGTTGCACATCCCGCGCACACAACAACGCCTTGTGCATGACTGAAAACTGTGGTAATTCTGTAGCAGCCGGGACACTTGACGTCCATGAAGTAAGAGTTAGGATGTTGCACCAAGCGCTTCAGCTTGTGCTTACGCTTTTCTTCAGCGGGCAATGGGTGCAGTAAATCTTTTGCTAGCTGAAATTTGAAACACAAACTTTAATAATATAGCACAAGGAGAAGCAACCAGTTTTAGTTTGAGTGGCAAAAAATTGCAAAGTATTTCTAGGTTATGTTTATCATAATTTACACTGCAGAAGATCGTACAAACATTTGCATATTCATAACATATTTTGCACTTTTCAAATGCACCTTAAAGCTTTAGGGATCGATTCTTTACACACATTTTATTAGCTTTTACTTTGGGTATTATGCATTTTGTAGCCATGTGAAGAAGCACAAACACATGAACCATATTCTTGTACGAGTGTCATTCACTTCTATTTTCCGAGGCACAATATGGTTTGTTCCGCTTTAAAATTTCACAAAACATCTGCATTTTTCAAGCAAATAATGTTGGACTATCATAAAAACAAATACTTAGGTTCACTTTGCAATTTCAAGCCTTTAATTGAGAATTTTTCATTGAATTTGACACCCACCGGCATGTTTCTTCTTTCACAGCTAACACGGAAAAGGAAGAAGATAATGTATGCGTGAAGTTAGCTATAGTTGTATATATGGAAAGACATTTCATCAGAAGAGAATGCTACCAGTATGTTTTTGAAAATTTTGTTGGTGTATTTACTCGTATAATGTATATAGTTTTTTATATTTATCTATGTCTATATTAAAGAAGGAAAAAATATTTGTTTTTAAATTTAAAAGCTGGTAGAAACTAAAACTTTAACTAGGATATATTTTTATTCCTTCATAATGTACTAATATTTGAAAGATATGGCAGCTTTAATTATATGAAGTTACATTAATATGTGAAATAGAGAAGAATTTTGCAATGATATGAAATTATTATTGTGAAAGAAAATTAATAATTAAAAAAAAAAATAGAATAAAAAAATTAACATATCTTGTGAATTAATCTATGAATCATATCTGTTATTACGTATTATATGTAATATAATTGGCACTTTGTAACCGCTGAAGCGACTTTCGGTTAAGCTTCTGAAGGGATTTACACCGGTTGATTGCCTTCTATTTCCTACAGGCTTAAAAATCGCAGAACTCTAGAATTCGATAGGAAATAGAATAACTCAGTATCTTATTTAAAATCCGTTAAATATATGAGGATTAGCATTGCAATTTCGTAGCGACATCTATATGTGGGAGCTCAACTAATGTCAAATAACTGACAGCTTCGTCTGGTATGGAAAATGCCGAAAGTGGAAAACGCCGCCACTTGCAAAATTTTTTCCAAGCAGAGTACATAGGATATAATGCCAATGAGATTTTGGAAAAAGAAGGCAAATAAAATATTGTTTTTATCCCAGCAACGTTTTGTGAAAAAATTGAATTTAGGTGTATTTGACTCAATTTTGTCGAAATTTTGTAATTTATCGGTGCCAGTGGATATAAGACAAATTGCTTTGTGAAAAAAGGCGATTAAAGGCCAAATAAATAGTTGGAATCTACCGGAAAAATAAAAAAAAACACTAATTGCTCTGGTGTCAGTTTAATTGAAGACCACATACGATTGTTTGGTTTTATACTAAAAATGTACAAAACCAAAAAGGATGTGGATGCCCATGTGCGAACTGCACTTGCAAAAGTGCGTTCTGAGACGGAGGTAAGTGATCAACAAAGCTACTGTGTGGAGATTAAACGTTTCGAATTGTTTAGGATAGTTTACATAATATAATCGAAATTAAAAGTGTGTGCATAATATTAACAAAAAGCCTGAAATAAAATTTCCCATTTGTTAGTGTCGCAATAATGCGGCGCCAAGTTGCTTATACATACATACTTATGCATATGGGAACGTACGTGTGAGCGTGGTATTTGCTCTTTTTGATGCAATAGGCTAATAAACCAATAACTTATAAATATCCTACAGTACAAATGGACACACAAAAGAAATATTTTAGCGCCCAGTTAGTATTTTTCCAGGATTAAAAAATAGTAAAATATCAAATTGAGGTTATGGGTTTTTTTGGTTCTTCGTAGTGATCGTTATGAGCCGATGATTGGTGCTTGTATTTTAAATAACCCAGAGTTGATTCGGTGCACAAATTTCGGCGCCTTTTCTAGGATTTGTAGGAAGTGAAAAATGTAGAAAATCGAAACAAAGAATTCACTATTTATAAAAATATTTTGTAAGGAATAAATTAGATAGAATTGTGTTTACCTATCATGTATGAAAATCTTTTCAAAATAATAAAAAAGTGTAGTACTATTGGTTGTACGATAGTTGTTAGCATGTTAATGATTCCCTAGAAGGAGGTGCCGATTCTGCAATATTTTCGGGTGTAACCACAACCTTGCTGCAACAAACATTTATTAACTTTATTTTTTTTATGTTTACATGCTTTCTTTTTACAGCGTCACTTACGAAGCTTTACAATTGCCAAACTTTACTACAGAATAAATGAATATGCAACTGCTGAACAATATCTTTGCTCATATCTAAGTGTTAAAGAGGATAATGATCAGGCGCATAAATTACTTGGTCAGTGTTATCAACGCCTCAAAAAGTCCGATAAGGCACTACAGTCTTTTCAGCGTTCACTGCAATTAAACCCCAAACAGCCTGATGTTTTGGCAGATGTTTGCCAGTTACTTTTGGAAGATAAAAACTTGAACGTTAACAAAGCTAAATATTGGTGTGAACTGGCTGAGGCTGAGAAAATTCAACATGATTCAGTTTTTTCTTTACGTTTAAAGTTGATGAATAACGAAAATATGGAAACAAATCAAGTAGAGGATTTAATACAGAAGGAAATCAGCGCGAGACCCAATGACGTACATTTACGTGTGCGTCTTATGCGAAATTACATTGAGCAAAATAAATTGTTGGATGCATTTAAGTACGTCTACAATTTTGAAATGGGTCAACAAGATAACTTCACCAGCAGCACTGAATGGTACAATATCGTATGGTTAGTGCTAAACAAATATGAACAAATGCCAAATACGAAGAAAGATTGGGAGTTTTGGCTGTTGATGATAATTTGTTTAGAGCGGCAAGTGAATTTAAGTTTTGGGCTTACAACGACCTCTGTAAGTGGCGGTGCAACCGAAACTGCGAACTTACTTTTCAATTTAGATCAGTATCTCTTCAAAGCGACACAGTTGTCGGATAAACTGTGTGCCCAGCGTGAACTGGTTAACCTCTTCCTGGATCATTACCGTGGCCAGATGTTAATTTATGCCGCTGCTTTAGTATTTAAACGTGAAATTTTGCAAAATAAAAATAAATGGAAAGAAACCGTCAAGATTGTAGCACCATTGCTGTTAATGGCTTTTCAAACTGATGTACCGGATAACCGGGAGCCTTGGATGAGACATTCCGATGAACAAGGCAAACAATTGATACAGTTATGGAGTCGTGAGGGCTCTTTTCGGTGTGCACAGGTAATAATTTATGAGCTTTAATAACTTTTTTCTTTAAACGAATAAAATATTTTTAAAAACATACGTAAGTAAAAATTTTCTAACTGCGGTCGCCCCTCGGCTGGGACTCTCAACCCCTCTGAGTGAATTTCTGACATGAAATAAAGCTCCTCATATTCGTTCGGAGGCGGTTTAGTATAATAAGCAAAATCGCCAGTTGGAGGAGGAGCTCGGCGGAAAATCGCTTCAGCGGTTACAAAGCGCCAAATAAAAAAATAATAAATAAAAGAAAATGCTCATATATTTGATTTATAATACAATTTTTTTTTTTTTTAGGCTGGACGTACTTTACTGTCATGTATTGTCGACGAATTGGCCACTAATAAAGAGAATGCTACACAACAAGTAAATAATATTTTCGGCACTAATCCTCCCTTATGGACCAATAGCGATGACTTCATTTCGGAAATACGACAGATCTGCTCTGATAAACATTGGCGGCGAAATGTGTTTGCAGTGTTGTACTGCAACAGTGATCAAAAGGTCAAGGAACAAAGCTCTTTGTTAATTAAAAGCCCCAAATTATCTGAACCAGTTTTCGAATTACCCACTTATGCTGATGTTGAACGTCACGAGGAGGCTGCTCAGTACTTAAAACCCCAGTCCTTAGAACACATGGTATACCTATGTCTGGCGAATGACAATCTCGCTTATGTACGAGCTAGATATTTCAGTGGTTTGAACTTTTCGACACAAAACTTGGCTTTTTGTGGTGCTGAGTCCTTGAATCAATTGGATGTTGATACATTTTTGTATGCAGCTACAATTCAAGCTAAACGTACATTACAAGTTGAGCGCCAAACCTTTGATAATTACTACTCGGGCAATAAATGTGCTACTGGCCGCCCGCGACTATTGCCGTTTGTCAATTTACAGGGTCAGTTGTGCACTGAAGAACAAGCCAATTGGTGGACAGCTGCCTATAAGGTTTATAAAAACTTAACCAGCGATAATTTGGCCGAACTGCGTGCCAACTTACAATTTGGCATCGAAGCGGTACGTGGTATTAATGGGCCGAAAATTGATATGATTATTGTATTCAAGTTGGGTCAGATATTCGTTGCTCGCGCTCAGGATATTGTCAAGCCTGTAGAGAAATCATTTTTAGAGGCACGCGCAGAAAGTATTTATAAGTATGGACTAAATATGGTGAAAATGAATAATAAAGGAGTACTAGAGCCTTTCCGGAAATATTTTAAGTACACCAAAGCTAATACTTCCATTGTAGAGCGTGAGGTTACAAATGCTGCTGAGGATGCAGTTTCGTACCTAGCTTCACGTTATTTCAAAAAGGCTGAATATGAAGATTTGATTGAAGAATTGGCAGGTATACAATTGCCATTTGCTACGTATTTGCAAGCTGAAGCCTATCGTAAGTTGGACGAAGCGAATAGAACCCCGAAGAAAGCTAAACGCATGTATTTAGATCGTGCAAGTGAATGCCTTAATCAGACATTAAACTTGTTAAAAAACAACGAAACCAATACCGATCACCCATTAAATTCTATAATACATACTGAATTGAAGAGATTGCAACAAGCTACTATGAAGTTCGTAAATGAGGGCAGCCCCGATACTGGCCATAACAACTCAAGCACTTACGAAGACGCAGAAGGCGACTTTTATCATGGCGTTCCCATATCTGCCACGCCGACAACAAGTCGTTCACGCCGCGAAGCAAATGCTTCTGCATTAATCGCTTCTGCACGTAACAGTGAAATGGAGAATTTGGTTAAACAAATGGCCAATACATTGACTTTCGTTAAAGAAGAGCTTGTCGATACAATTAAACCGGAAATGCTTTCAATGCGTAAGGAAATCACATCACTTAAAGAGAAAATTACCGGCCTTGAAGAAGCCATGAAACATACGCGCATTTCATCAAATCCACCATCGCGAGATGATGCCTCGCATGTACTCGATGACCTCTACATGATCGAGGATGCATTGCAAAATCAATTGTACCAGTCGCCTGCCCAACCACCTATAAATGTTGCCGGTAACATATTTCCCAACGTTGCAAACGGCCCCAGCACACAACCTCCTGGTGGCGTGCATAGTCCATTTGTAGCAACACAACAGTCACAACAACAAATGGCACAACAACGGAATTCGATGCACTTACCGCCGAACGCAATGGCTGCCGCAGCTTACAATAGCCCAATGTTTAATCCTAATTATCCCATGGGTTATTATCCACAGCCTTATATGATGCCACAACCACCCGCGCCACCTGGATCTGCTAGCGCTATGTTGGGTAAGCAATTGCATTTAAATTTTAAGAGGTTGCATAGGTCTTGAAGGCCTTTTTTTTAAAAAAAAGATACTAAATAAATTATACAATACATTTTGTTTACATATAAAAGTACAATATGTGGACAACATTTGATGAAAATTTGAATGAAAAATAGTATAAGTAAAGGCGTTGGCAGTGACGTGAAGTAGACCGTCGACAAAATCAAAATTTCAATTTTTTCTTAAAGTATGTGAATTTTCCTTGTCGCTGAACAAAGAGAAATTAAAAATATTGAAAATTAGGCCAGATATCGGCTTGTAAAATGAGTTGAAATCAAAGATAAAATAAATCCTTCGTTCAGGGACTACAAAAACATGCTTAAAAGAAGTGTGGAAAATATGAACTCCATCGCTTCAATAGTCGTTGAGGTATTTTGGCTACCGATTTCGATTAAGTGGTTTTAAGAAGAGCGCGTTTAAAGTTTTATCTTCGGTCAAGCCATGAAAAAGACGGCGGGTTATAAAACTCTAATTTCTACAGTATCGTCTCGATCGACTTGAAACTTTGGAAAAATATTCCTGACATTTTGTACTTTTATACAAAAAGTTATCAAATAAAATTAATATTTTGAATTTTCATGACCTTTGTAAACCCTTAAATTAAATCCCAATTTTTTCTATAACCGCTGCTAATTAAATATTAATAAAAAAAAATTCTTACAGGTCAACGTAATCCGCTGCCCATGCCGTATATGGATGCAAATTTAAGTTTCAGTATGGCTCAGTCTACACCATTATTGCCAGCACCTCCCCAAGATGGCAGGCCCAGCAATCTGTATAGTCTACTTACTCAGCCTCAGCAACCACCCACCGTGCCACCGCAGTTGCCATCACAGTTGCCGCAGTTGCCACCACAGTTGCCGCAGTTGTCAGTGCCAATGTCGATTGCTCCATTCGCACCATCCATTACTAGTAATGCTCCAATAAACACTCCGATCATGGGCGGCTTTGCATCAACAGTTTCGGCGCAAACAGCTTCAACAACTGCTCCGATTCAATTCAATAAGGCACTCAATAATCAACCTGTGGAAAAAGGTCCTCCAGCTAATGTTGTAATCACCAGTTCCGATCCTTTGCCAAATCCAAACCGACCAGCTTTGTTGGCACAACAACCGACTTTAAGTGTCACAATACCTCCACAGCATATTAAGCCCAGTCTTGTTGCAACCTCAGAAACTACTGGACAACAGATGCCACCTCAGCCAATCGCTTCACAGGCTGCTCCTACCTCCTCCGCTACGAATACTAATAATGCTGGTAGTGGTGGATTTGCAGGTTTCGCTTTCGGCAGCAAAGCTTCAGACACACAATCACCATTTAATCTTACCTTTAGCAGTACTTTTACCACACCTACTTCATCAGCAACTTCAATATTTAGTGGTAAAAGTGGCAGTTCTATTCCGCCAACAGCTGCGATTAGTACTACCACATTCAGTTTTAAACCACAAATAGAACAAGCACAAGCACAGGCAACGGCTGCTGCTGTTGAAAATAGCTCTGGCGAAAGCGTCACCATATTGAGCAAAACATCGGATAGCCTCGCGAGTGATACTAATAAGAGCAGTACAGAGGTTGAACTCGAATACGATCCACGTCCGGATTTCAAACCAGTAATTCCATTACCAGATGAAATCGAAGTTAGGACAGGTGAGGAAGATGAGGAGGTAATGTTTTGTTGTCGCGCCAAACTCTACCGATTTACTGACAAGGAATGGAAGGAACGTGGTATTGGAGATATTAAGATACTGAAGAACAAGGAAGGTTTTTCGAGAATTCTTATGCGTCGAGATCAGACACACAAAATATGTGCCAATCACAAAATCACCAAAGAGTTAATACTAACTACACCGTCAAATGAAAATAAAGGTCATATTTGGGTAGCGAATGATTTTGCTGATGAAGAGTTAAAAACGGAACGTTTCTTTGTTCGTTTCAAGTTGCCAGAGTCAGCTCAGAGCTTCTACGAATCGTTTAAGAAGGCACAGAAGGAAGCCGAAGAATTAGATTGTAAAAAGGAGTCAACTGTTCCGGCCGAAGAAGAAGAGAAGGAGAAGCATGATATTCAGCAAATGAAACAGCCGCCGTTCGGCTTAGCTAAGAGCTCAGTATCAAACTTTGCAACTAGTACACCAGCTACAAAATCCAACACCGAGAAGGCAAATACGGTCACGCAACCACCCGCAGTTCCAACATCAACTGCATCAAATGCTCAGTCAGTCGGCGGGGTTTCTAAAACACTTTTTAGTGGATTTGGTACATCAGGCGGCAATATTCCTGCTCCGACAGCTGCGGCAGAGAGCAAAAAAGTTGAGGCGTCGAAATCCACTGCTTCACCATTCGCAAATTTCACTTTTGACAAAAGTAGCGCCACTACCACCACCGCTGGCCCCACTACAGCTACAACACCATCGCCTTTCGCTAATATCTTTAGCAATTTGGGCAAACCAGTAGCCACTACTTCATCACCATTTAACACCGAAAATACGCCAATTTTCCAGACACCGATTGGCAGCAGCGTCATCACAGCACCAGTAACCACACCCGCAACAGCGTTGAACAAATCTAATGCATCTGATACTGAAGATGAATATGTTCCAACAGCCACATTCAATCCGGTAATACCATTACCCGATTTGGTGGAGGTTTCTACTGGTGAAGAAAATGAAATCGTGTTGTTCGAACATCGTGCCAAACTTTTGCGCTTCGATAAAGAGGCTGGTGAGTGGAAGGAGCGAGGTATCGGCAACATAAAGTTGTTACAGGATAAAGACGATGCAAATAAAGTCCGGTTGGTAATGAGGCGTGAACAAATACATAAACTTTGTTGCAATCAACGCATATACAAAAATACCGTCTTCAAATATGCAAAGAATTCTCAAACTGCATTAACTTGGGCTGGCCAGGACTTTTCAGAGAATGAACTAGTCACTGAAATGTTGACGGTGCGCTTTAAATTACCCGAAACATGCAAACAGTTCCACGAGGCTGTGTTGAAAGCGCAAGAAAACATGAGTGATGATGCCGACGAAGAGAGCGTAAAGGCCGCCACCAAGGGGAAACAACAAAAGGAGAAACAGAGTCAAAAGTCTGAAAACAAAGGAGCTAATATCAAGGGCTTTGGAGATGCCTTTAAGCCTAAAGTTGGCTCATGGAATTGTACCGCTTGCTACATATCAAACACAGTTGACAAACAATATTGCATTGCATGCGACTCTCCAAAAGATGATACTGTGCCCAAGAAAGAGCCGACTAATGTGTTGCTTACCAACCCACCAAAGGCATCATTTGTATTTGGTTTTCCACCAGCGACAAATGGTAATGCCGCTGCACCTGTGCAAGCAACCGATAGTTTCGTTTTTGGAAAACCAACCGCCACCTCTAGCATGCTTAATGCCAATAGCTCAACCAGCACTCAACCCAATCTAGGCTACACATCAACACCACCCATTGGTCAAAGCAGTTTCGGTGACCAATTCAAGCCAAAAGCTGGTTCTTGGTCTTGTCAGGCCTGCTATTTAAGCAACTCGGCTGACACTATATACTGCAAGGCCTGCGACGCGCCTAAAAATGACACTGTACCCAAAAAGGAATCTACAAATGATGTGCTTGCACTATCGAATCCAGCACAGAAGTTTAACTTCGGTTTTAATGCTGCCACCACTGCTCCAGCAACAAACGCGCCTAGCATTAATGCACCTGGAAGTGGTTTCAATTTTGGCACTATCCCCACGGCCACGAAATCCGAACCTGCTAAGTCTATATTTGATAATTTGAAAAATGCGAGCAGCACTGACTCGTCCAAATCATTTACATTTGCGCCTCCAAACACCACAAGTAGTGATTCTAATTTGCCATCGTTGTCAAAGCCAACATTCTCCTTTTCTATGCCTGCATCATCGGGTGCTGGTGGAGAGTCCTCTTCAACATTTTCTCTGGACAAAAAAGATTTCAATTTCACCTTAAAGCCAAAAAGTCCTGGCAAGTCGGGTAAGAGTCCAATGAAATTTGGTGGTGGGGGCGGTGATGCCGACGCCGCAGCAGACGACGGTGAAGATGGTGAATATCAAGAAGAAGAAAACAACACATATTTTACACCAGTCATACCGCTGCCGGACAAGGTTAGTATGGTGCAATCCATTGTTGAATATATTGAAATTAAAAACGAAAGGTATAGGTAAACTATGTATATATATTCGGCTTTGTCGTAAATTTCCATTTCGTGTGAAATGGTTCGCCGTTCGGCATCAATGGTGAAATAATTATCAACTTTTAGGTGAAGTCGTTCGTTTTAATTTTGCACGCGAAATTTATTTAAATAATGTAAGTATCAATAAAAATGAGGTAATGATAACAATTTTAAATTGAAATTCAATCCGAAATTTTACTTGCCAAAATGCAAGAAAATCCTGATTTAGCGGCTGCCTTCTCCAAACAAGGGGAGGAAAGACAAGAAATATATCTAAATAAAATATAAGTTGACGTATAAAAATGTAAATTGAAAACATTTTTTTTTTTTTTTTCAAATGGCGTTTCTTAAAATTACTGCCGAAACGCGTCCCTTTGCCGTGATGAGGCATTTCAGGAGTAAAATGCCGTTTAGTTCATGTTGATCAATTCAACAGTTCAGTTCAACAGTTGAAAAAAAAACGTGGTTTCGGGAAAAAGGCGATCCAAGTTTTTGTTCGTGAGGATTTACCGATCGGTCTTACAGACCTCCGGGACTAATTCAATATTACATATATTTAAGAGTTTTTTCTAGCTAATTTATAGAAAAGAAAAATTTCGATTTTTAGAAACTCTTTTATATGAACCTGGCCTTAATAAACATAATAAAAATTTCACAATTTGAATGAACAATAATTAAAAAATTAACGATAGAAAATAAGCGATCGTGTTAAGGTGAACGACTTCGGGTGAACGAAATATTTCGCTTGTGAACTATTCCACACCAATATTTATGATAACGCTGATTAATCTAAAGTTTAATGTACTGAATAAATTATTTATTTCTTAACTCAGATCGACGTGAAGACTGGCGAAGAGGACGAGGAACTTCTTTATATTCATCGCGCTAAGTTATACCGCTTCGTCGATGGCGAATGGAAAGAGCGCGGCCTGGGCGATGTCAAGATCTTGCGTCACAAATTGAATAAGAAGCTACGAGTCGTAATGCGCCGAGAACAGGTGCTAAAAATCTGCCTCAATCATGTACTTAACGAAGAGGTGGAGTACAAACGTAAAGATGAGAAATCCTGGTTATTTGTTGTTAATGATTTCAGTGAGGGTACCGTTGAGCTAGAAAAATTCTCACTGCGTTTCAAAAATAAGGAAATTGCTCAAGGATTTATGGATGCGGTGCTAAGTGCGATTGACGGTACAGCTATCGCTATTGAAAATGAGGGAAGCATATCTACAAATACAACTCTAAATATGTCCGAGATTGTGACAGATATAAAAGATAAGGAAAAGGTTGTGCCAGCTGCTTTGTCTGATGCAGATAGAGCAACGGCTGATGAATTGCAATTACCCTATGAATTATTCACGAACCAAACACAATGTGCCGGTTGTCGTGGTTGTGATCCTGATAATTTTATATTCCCTATATTGAAAGTAGATGAATCGTTTGTCAACAAAGAGGACAGTCAAGATTTATTGAAACCATTCGAATTGCCTTTGTTATCGTTACCGAAGGCGGACAATGTTAGTAGTGCAAATCGTCCACTTTTGAAGCAAAGTGCTTTGTCACCAATGGTACCATCCAACTCAACAACCACACTCAAGGCGGGTGAATCGAATGTTTTCTCTAGTTTTGGTGGTGTAAACTCAACGGCTTTCAGCGGTTCTGGCGAAAAGACTGCCAGTGGATTTTCATTTACTGCAGCTATGAAAAATGCCAGCAAGGATGATGAAAACAAAACTAGTACCTCCAATGGAACATTCTTATTTGGTAATCCTGCTGGCACTGGTGGCTTCAGTGGCAGTTCGATTTTCGGTTAGTTTCGCCTACTGTGTATACAAAATTACATCTGTTTATTTTTTATGTTTTTTTTTCTTTTTAATTCTTTTTAGACAAGAAATCCGTCTTTGGCCAAACACCATCGATATTCGGCAACGCTACCAGCACCTTAGCTAAACCCGCTGATTCTACAACAAGCGAGGACGACAAACCAAAGACAATTTTTGGTGGTCTTGTCAGCACTTCTGGAAGCAGTTCGATATTTGGTGGTAAATCTGTTTTCGGTTCTGGCACCAGTTCGCTTTTCGACGGCAAATCGAGCGCGGGCACTGACACAGCAACGAAATCGATATTTGGTGGATCAACTTTTGCCCCCTTTGGAAGTACTTCTAGCACACAGGTCCCCACTTTTGGCAGTAATAATAGCTCGAACGCAGCCAACTTAAAAACTGACGGCAATTTATTCGGTGGTATTCCTAAAGAGCAAGCCGCTGCCGCGCCCAGTTTTGCAGATCTTTCTAACAAAGCTGGTGCTGTTGATTTCGCCAGCTTAGCTGCTAATGCGAAATCGCCAACTTCAAATAACAAACCAGCCGAAAAGCCGGGTCCAGGTGGATTTATTGGTCTTACAGACCAGGACGCATTCTCTAATTTTGCGAAGGCGTCTCAGAATGTTTCAAAGGATGGCAATGCCAACGAATCAACAAAGAGTGCTGATGATAATGAAAAGTATGATCCGCATTATGATCCAATCATTGAATTACCAGACGAAATTCAAGTTAGCACTGGTGAGGAAGATGAAACTAAACTGTTGGGAGAACGTGCGAAGCTCTACCGATACGATGTCAATACGAAGGAGTGGAAGGAACGCGGTGAGTATAAAAATCATAAAAAAAAGAACACATTTTTTATACAATTATTTGAAAGTAATTTTTATTTAAAATAATTTTTGATTCAGGCGTTGGTGAACTGAAAATTTTGCAGCATAATGAGAAACAAACATATCGTCTGGTGATGCGACGCGAACAAATTCATAAACTAGTTTTGAATCATGCAGTTGGTGCCGAGTTCAGTTTTAACAACATGAATAATGATCCAAAAAGTTTTGTCTGGGCGGCGGTAAACTATGCTGAATCCAGCGATGGCGAAGTGGAGAAATTGGCGGTACGTTTTAAGAATGCCGATATTGCGAGTCAATTCAAACAGAAGTTGAATGAATGCATCGAAGCAGCTAAACAGCGCGAGTAAAAAAATCACATCATATGGATTAAAATTAAACTAGTTTTAGATTAAAAATTGTGGTATTGGAAACACCTATAAAAAACATCAATTATATAATTTGTAGCATTCCTCATGATTTTCACTATTTTCACTATTCAAGGACCTTCATACATTCATATAAGTTTTCGTTTTATTTACAATTTTTCTTTTCTTTGTCCTAAAATGTTTTTTTTTCTTTTTGTTTATTTAAGATTTGGCAAAAAAAAAAAAGTGCACGAAAATTGCTTGTTTAGTTTGTATACAAGTTCGTGTGGCAAAAACAAAATTAGCAAGAGAAATTATTAGAGTTGTAAAAATTAAAAATATTGTTATTCGTACATTATACTTACATATAATAAGAAATGTGGACTTTAATTTCATACTACATGGTATATGTATTTTCCAATAAGAGGTGTTGTTTTGAATATTATCCTTTGAAAGATAGATAGTTCCGGTTATTGTGGAAAAAGTACGGTCCAATGACCCCGGCGGACCATAAACCACACCACACTGCCTCTACTTGGCATGTTGCGGGTTTGGGCAGAAGTTAATTTTTCAAGATTTTCGGAGGGAATTATTGGGCTTCAGTTCGAAAATGGATTTAATCTTATGTGTGGTCGAAAGAACCCTTGTGACCTTTTTTTTTATCTGTTGACCTGAAGGGTTGTGGGTCCCAAAGAAGTGGCAGCCATTTTGGGGCGCAGAAACGGCTGTCGAGGGGTTGTTGTTATTGTAGGGACATACAAGTACAAGTAAATATGTATCTGTGGAATAGTTCATCTTCAAGCAGGTGACGTGAGGAGGTTTTCTGTTTAACTCTCAAAGCAATTTTTCTATTTCAGATCCGTGGGGCGTAGTTTTTAAACAACCGGCTAAAGCCTTTTAGCTCTGCATGTTTGGCTGTGTAAAAGACTTTAGTAAGTAAAATTCAACCCAGGACTATTAACGGCGTTAAACGCAATAGAGGTGCAAACGGGAGCAGTAACTCCTAAAGTACTTTCAATACTAGAGAAATCTGTCGATATGATTCTCCTTTCTTTATTTGTTGTATTGAGGAACAAGAAATGTTGATTAAGGCCCTTTGTAAGAAATTCTGGTCTTGCTGGGCCCAAATGTTTTAGCTTTGGCTTGCTATAAGATAATGCTTGAAGGGATTGGGAGAACCCTGATTCTTTCAGGTTAATCTAAAAATAGTTAAGTACACAATTGAAGCAGATATCTATATATATGTATGTATAGTATGTATATCTAAAAATGTGAACATAATTTAAAAAAATTAACAACGACAACTTCCGTTCTTTTTAAATTGTTCTGTTTAAACAATCAAAATCCCCTTTCCAAATATTTCCCAAACATCTATGTCAGAGGAAATTTTTGCCACCTGATAATTTTGACAATCCAATCGCAACTGTCATTAAAAACTTCGTAGTTGGGCCAAGTTCTACGGGTTGTTTTCATCATTTTACTACTATTAACACATTTTCTTGCTTTTCATTAAATTTAATCTTAAATACTGCTAAATTAAATTAAAAATTAATAAGTACCCAAAGAGGGTTATATAGTGTTTATAAGTTAACAGCCGGAAAACTAAAGTAATGCGGAAAAGAGCACCACCGCTGTTGGGTGCTCCACACGTTGCTCCTCCATCAATCCCTCAAATTGATTGCACATTTCTGAGTTCACATAACCATTTCCATAGTGGTTCGTAGTTGGTTTGGAATATATTGTCGCGGGTGTGAGTTCTGCTATAGTTTTACAATACACAGACGGCGTTGTTAACACAGCAGACGCCTCTTTAGTTCGTTGATGGCCGTTGTGGCGTTACATTTTCGATATAATATGGGCATACAAAACGATTTGAATGTGATTAGGAAGTGTCGTAAATCATTACTTCATCTGACTATGATCACCTCATTAGTTGCTGCTGCCGCTATGTCTAATATTGTTGGAAGTGTTGGAGCCGATAATCCAACTGCAAGCGATGAACCCAGTTTGCAATTGAATCACCAACCAGCTGCAATTCCCTACTGCGACGATGACAACGCAGATCACACAATAGGACGCAGGTAAGTTTTGTTTTAGTAACTAAGTGCCCAAGTGCTTACAGCAGCTGGAAATGCTACATTGGCATAGATTATTCGATAACGTTCTGGAAACGTCTATGTACATATGTACATGTGCTCAATATATATGTTATCGGGTGACCAGTGGTTTGAGTTGAAAAAAAAAACACTATCAAACATTGTTTTATGGTATTTAGTACGAATCGGAGTGCATAGATTCATAAATATATACGTAGTTATATGCCTATGGACCAGGGTTTATATATTAACTAAGGAACTGATGTCCCTTTCCTACTATTTGAAATCAAAAGTTATAAACAATGTGGTTTAAATATTATGTATATATAGACATACAAATAATTGTTTTCTGTAAAAAACTGAATGGAAAGTTGAGCGAGCCATTCAAATATAAATATATATATGTATGTATATATATAAAAATATTAATTTCACAAGCCAATCAGATGCATTCGGTTATACCCTCTTAAGCTGTGCTATATCAAAATTGAAGAAAAATCAGATCTATTGCTGTTTACATTGGTAATGGGCATGTCATTCTGCTTTCAATAATAATTCATATTGCAACAACTTTTTCATTCTTGATTAATTTTGTGTTCGTTTCGTTAACGTGCGCCAAGTTATAGTGAACAGCTGACCATACTAACAACAGGCGAATTAGTAAATGTTTTATTGTAATAGTCGTATATGTGCATATATGCATATCTATTTAAAAAGTTAGCACACCTACATATTCGCACATACAAAGGGATATGAACGCTTGAGCGCCTGCGCTCTGCAAACAAAAAATCTCTGACGCTGATGTGGTCTTTTGCAATTCGAAGGTATTCCTATATATATGTACATATGTATGCTCCACAGAGAGAGAGAGAGAGAGCGAAAAGAATTATGAGAAATTTTATGTGAAATGAATGTGTGCGTGCATGTTTATGTTCAAACATTTGCCGGCAAAAAGAGGCAGGTATTTTGGCGCGATTTAAATATGCTGTTTATGTACATAGATATGTATATACATACATATGTATGTCCTTAGTTTTTGCTGTGTAGCTAAACACAAGCGTGCCTCCAAAGATGAGTCACGTTTATATGTTTACTGGCTTGCATACATAAATGACATAACATACATATGTGTGTTAGCTGATGCAATTTCGGATAGAAAGTATTGAGCCTCTGCGGATAAATGCTCAAGCGTATACTCATATTTCAAATGATTTAAATTTTAGGTTTTATGTATATTGATTTAAATATATATAAATTTAATTTGTACACATGTAATAATAAAGTTAAATAATATAAGAATTCCCGTTATATTGAAATAAAATCTCATTAAGAAGGAAAAGTCTAAGAAAATAATTTAATTATTATACGAGGTGTGTTCAAAAAGTATGATCGAATCTCGATTTTTTTGTGACGTTATGTTGGTACTCATGTCTGTCACTTATGCCGAAAAGCTCGGCCATTTTGAATTTTCACTTAATTGTTGACAGCTGCTTTGCTTGCACGTGTTTCGGATGGTCTTCGATTTTTACCTATTATTTGTGTGAAAAACGAAATTAAGTGCGCGGATGCATTCCGAATGTTGACTGTGGCATACGAAGAGGCTACCTTGGACCGAAGCAACGTTTATCGGTGGTACAAAATGTTCTCAGAAGGCCGAGAAGATGTGAACGACGAAGAGCGTGCCAGACGCCAGAGTGTATAATATCCAATATGGATTACTTTGGAGGGGACAAAATGTATATTCATGAATAAATAAATAATTTTTGAAAAAACACAAAATTTCGATATTTTTTGAACACACCTCGTATATATGAACTACTGCGAAAGAAAAACAAAAATCGCAAAATGTGTTGAGGGTGGTTGATAAGCAAATACTAAAAAGTAGTGTTATGGGCGGGTGTATTGTCTGATAACAATAGTATTTCCAAATAGAATTTGCTTGCTTCTATGACTCAATAAGATAAAGTGTAGTAAGAAATTATCAAGCAAAAATAAATAAATACACGAATATCTTTAAAAAATACTATGAGTCAAAAGCATAGATTCAATCACTGTAAAGGATCATACATTGATTCGGAATTTCATATTGATGCAAACGTGGCTTGCTTTGGCTCAATTTCAGTGGTCTTCACAATACATATTTGTTCCTCAATTAGAAGACCTCAGACATGTTGTCGTGTCTTTAAATGCATTTTGTTCAATTAAAATTTTGTTAATGGTATTATTATGGAATAACGAGAAGTCCTAATTAATTAAGTTACCTGCAGGATATTTTTTTTTACTTATTCTTGGTAAATAAGAGTGCAGTTTCTTGGGCCCATGAAATTACATATTTATCAGATCTAGTCAGAGATTAGTCGCTTTTTCGCTAATCAAAGGTTTTCAGTAATATGAAAGCTTTCTTAAGCGCAAGTTCATGTTGTTGTTGTTGTTGTAACCGCAAAATTATTCCCCAAAGTACTTTTTGGGGAATGTTGCGGGAGTGACAGTCCTTGGCCGGATAAAAATCCGGGTCGTTCCGGTATAAAGACCCGACTGTCGCGGAAACTATTGGATTTTAGTAGCCTCTTACGACAGGCATGCCTTACCGCGGGTAAATTCTTGAGCCAAAAATACGATTTTTTCAAACAGGTCGGGTTCAGCTTATTGGGCAGGATAAAACGTTCACTGGGGGCTCGGATGATGACAGTTTGACAGATATCAGCAACTTACTGCTATAAAATCCCAATTTGCTTGATTGATATTATCGATATTAAAACCTTATCATAGATACATAAATCGTGAAAATGTTCATTCATTTTCAATTAATTTCCACTTTATGCCAGTCATATATATGTATGTACATTTATACGTATGTATATTTTTGCGTTTTATTATTACATGACAATTGTAAAAATTATTGTAGTTAAAGTTTCAGTAGGTTAACTATTTTTGTAGGTGCTTTGCGTTTGGGAACAGTCAAAATTCTTGCTATTTTACTTAATTTAGTTATACAAAGCTTACTTGTTGTTTGTATCTGCGTAACAAAATAAACAAACAAACGAATCGGAAATAATAGAAAAATAATAAATTTAAAAAAATAAAACATACATATGTACATTTATACTTATGTACATAGACATACATATATGTATACGTATATTATATGCACATAAATTTTGTTTATCTGTAAAAATTTATCACCTATATACTCGTATGTTGCTTCCATTCTTCTTCGCGTGTTTATTTGTTCTTTTTTTTTGTGTTATTATGTTTGTTCTCCCTTCATTGTTATTGACTTCAATTATCACAAAAACAATTAGACAATATCAACTTCATTTATTAATTAATCTCTTCCGACAAATATATATGTATGTACCTACAAATATAAACAATTCTCGCCTTGATTTCAGACTTTTATATATAACAACACTAGATGGACGTTTGTCGGCGCTTGACGCTAGTCAGGGTGGTAAATTACGTTGGAGCGTGTCAACCGGTCCGGGCCCACTCATATCGTCTAGTATTCATCGCCTTGAATTAACAAATAATGGTCAATTTGTGCGCATGATACCATCTTTAAATGGTGGCATTTATAAATTCGATGGAGAATCTATTGATCCGATACCAATTACCACCGAAAATTTGCTCAGTTCGTCGGCGAAATTCTCCGATGATTTGGTCATTTCGGGTGGCAAGGAAACTCGTACCTATGGTGTATCCGTACGTAGTGGTCAACTCTTGTACGAATGTTCCATGAATGGTTGTATTAATGCTACTGACGCCAGAGATTCCCTAGAAGGTGTTGAAACAAATGGTAATACTGTTGGTGGTGAGGAGAAATTAGAACATGATCCTCTTATAGACGATGTGATTGTGGTGCGTCGCCAAACACAAACTGTACGCGCTGTAGAGTCACGCACTGGTGTGGAACGTTGGAATTTTAGTGTGGGACAACATGAGTTGAATATGATAAAACCCGCTGAATGCCATGACCGACCTTTTAGCGAGATGGATATGGCCATGCTAGATTTGGATATACGAGTGGTAGTGCCGGAAGGTATCATTTGTGCATTTAGCAAGGCAAATCCGAATGAAATGCTATGGAAGTATAAGGTAAATATACAGAATGGAAAGAATATAACAAAAAAAAAAAAAAATCAGTATTAATTATCTACAATTAATTTTCACAGTTTGACCATCCTATCGTTAGCGGTTGGAAAATTGGCGTCGAGGATGACTTAGAAATGATCGATATGTTTAGCTCAGCACAGTGGATGTGGGACCATGCAGAGAACATGTTCGACCCACCTGTAAACTCCATGAGCCCGTCGATTTACCTCGGCATGTATGATAAACAATTGTATATACAGGTATACATTTATTTTAATTTATCTCTTCACACGCATCTGCATTAATTCTTATAATTTAGGAATCCGTAAATTTGCGTCGTGAAATTGATGACCAATCTAACTTATATACCCATTTAACGACGGAATCTCCAATGCCGATAATACCATGGCGTCCTATACCGGCTAGCAGTAATTCCTTGGCAATATTAAAGAATCAACGAAAAATTACTGATGGCAAAACGGTGGAATCCTCAAATTCAGTAACAACGCTGCCGAATTCTCTCGATACCGTAAAGGGTAATGAATTGGTGCCATATGATGAGGATACGTTTGCGGTATCAGCTCAATCCGTACTTAATGCCTCCGAGTATGTGAATGGAAATGGTTTTTATTTATATACCCGTGAGGATTTGGAAGACGAAGAAAGTGCACTTTGTGAAACCGATATCGCAGAAGAAGGTATAGAAGAAGATGGGGAAAGCAGTGGTGATATCGGTAATTTGAGCAAGGACTTGAATTATACAAATCATTCAATCAACGATGATTTGGGCTTTAACCTTGATGATATTGATGCACCTGTCAAAGTCGTGATTTTATCTTTGTGGTTTTGGTGGAAAGAGGTGGTTGTAATTGCTTTGACTACGGCCGTGTTAGTGAATTTATTTCTTGGCCAACGCCAGCGGCAAGAAGTTCTAGTAATTGAACGTCATGTGCCAGTGCCAACGGCTTACGAGGCTACCGAGCAGTCTACAGTTGCGCTACTAGGACCCACAAACGTTGTAGTGAACACCAATGGCAATAGCAATGTGCATCGTTCGCTATCAGAGTCTACCTCCTGCTCTGGTGAACATTTCAGTTCTCGCTTTCAGAGTGATTTTGACTTAGTACGCTGCTTGGGACGTGGTGGTTTTGGTGTTGTTTTTGAAGCAAAAAATAAGTTAGACGATTGCAAATACGCTGTGAAACGTATAACACTGCCTAATAAGAAGGAGTCTCGCGATCGTGTTATGAGAGAGGTGAAGACCTTAGCCAATTGTGAGCACCAGAATATCGTGCGTTATTTTCAGGTTAGTTTGTAACTATATAATTTTAGCTGCCTTTGAATAGAAATTTTACTTACTACTTCACAGGCTTGGGTTGAAACTCCACCGCCCGGTTGGCAAGAGGAAGAAGATAATAAGTGGTTGGCACATGAGATGTCTATGTCCATACAAATAGAAACGCCAGATGGCACAACACTGCCGTCCTTTGAGAATGCTCCAGCCGTACAGAGTCCACCGAGACGCCAGCTGCAGGTTGAACGCAAGCGTCAATTACTCTCTTGGATGTCAAGTTTAAATAACACCGATTGTGGCTCCGAACTTGAACGTAAAGATTGCATTGACGAAGATGAGGATGATGATTCGTGTATAGTCTTCCGTTCAGAGTCGCAATCGCAAGCATTGAAAGGGCATTACGAAAATGAAAGTGAAAGCGAGAATGAAAGTGATGGCTGTGATAAGGATAAAAATAGAAACATTAAGCAGAACAAGCAAGAAAATGGCAAGAGAGTGCATAACAATTCCATTTCCATTGATATTCATTCCAATTCGTTTGATTTGATTCAACAAAAGAATGGCCAGAATATTGATTACACACAATTGTCCGACTCATTTCAAATTGAATTTGTACGTTCGGCAAATGGCGATCAAACTAACGACGACAGTGGTTGTGATGGTCAAACGAACGGCGATGTGTGGACTTCCAAAGACATTGAACGTTCCTCGAATGGCAATAGAATAAAAAAGGATTCCAAATCTAAAAAGCGTCCAGACTCACTAGAACTCGGCAAATTTGCCTGCAATATTGAGAGCAGCGGTAATAGCAAAGCTTTATTGCCAACAACTGCACTGGTGCAGTCCTCATCGAAACCACAACAAAACAAGGTTTATTTGTACATACAAATGCAGTTGTGCCGCAAGGAGAGTTTACGTGACTGGTTGCGTGATAATCGCTGTGAATCACGCCAAAGTCATATCGCCAGCATTTTTCATCAAATCGTCGATGCAGTCGATTATGTGCATTTGAAGGGGCTCATACATCGTGATCTCAAACCAAGCAATATTTTCTTCTCTCAAGATGGCCAAATTAAAATTGGGGACTTTGGTCTAGTCACCGATATGTCCGACATACCGAATATGATAACAAAGTGTGGCGATACAACGGGTTTGCCATCATGCGCACGTCACACACAGCAGGTTGGCACTCACCTGTATATGTCACCCGAGCAACTTCGCGGACAACATTACGACTTCAAAGTTGATATTTACTCTCTAGGTTTGATATTCTTTGAGCTTTTGGTGTATTTTGGCACTGAAATGGAACGTATAAAAACGTTACGAAGTCTTAGAGACGGTAGCTACCCATTGCAGTTCCCAAAGGAATTCCCTAAGGAGCATGAACTACTGCAGCTGATGTTGTCTAGGCAACCCACCGAGCGTCCAGCGACGACAGAGCTAAAGCAAAAACTACTCGATATACTGAAATGGCCAGATTTCATAGTGGGTGACGGTAATCCATTGGCTATGGTTGCAGAGGCTGCCCGTCGATATAGTCGAAGTCGTACATTTAGTACTAGTGATGTATGAAAATGCATTACATATTTTATGAGTGATGTCTTAGATGCATACACGTACACGTATACTATGTCCTGATTGTACGTAGGTTAATGTATTTATAAGTAATATAAGCAATAGTTGTGTAATTCTAATACAAAAAATTAAAGAGTTCACTGAACATAAAATCAAACATAATGAAATTGAAGCTTTAAAGCAAATTTAAAAAATAATCGAGAATGTAATTGAATCTAAAGAAAGACTTAGCAATTTTTTAACGCAGATATTGGGAGACAAATTTAAATTGGTAAATGAAATTAATAATTTTTATTTGCAAATAATTTTTAACTAAGATAGTTTTATAAACATTCGTGTGCATGTGTAATTATACATGTACTTGTGCTATATTATTATGTAATTAGATATCTTAATTATCATAGCGATGCGCCATTAAATTGTATATTTGTAAGTTTAAACGTTTATCTGAAAGTGACCCCAGCAATTTTTTTCCATCGTTAAATGCATGCATGCTTAAAATGCTCAAGTATTATTATTACTGCAAACACTCTAAAAGTTTTCACACGCGTACTGAAAAAGGACCTTGTTTGTTTAGGGAATGTGGCCGTTAATACTGAGCATATTATAAATTCATTATTCAGTCAAATTAATATACATTTGTAAGTTACCAAAACCATTTTTTATTTAATTTTCTTTTTAGCCACAATTTTAAAACGTTTTTGACTCATAATTGACGTGGTGAAATTCATTTTGATTTAAGCAGAAAACTACATAAATACATACAAACCTACCTAGCAAGGATAAGAGCTTTGAATATCCTGTGTATTTAAGAAAAGACGATAATAAAACCTAAGTAAATAAAATAAAAATGAAAAAATTATATTTTTATTGTTTTTCAAGTTAATGTTGAGAATCTAATTGGAAATACCAAAAAAAAAATAAGTTACTTGCACGGGTTCGGAGCAGAGAGTGAGGAAAGTGACCCCAGCAATTTTTCCATACATATTAAGTGACGCTTTTTAACCGCTATAGCGATTTTTCGACCGAGCTTCTTTACCAATTTTTGGATTTGCGTATTGATGTTTTTCCAAAAAATGGAGGGACCTACAGTTTATACTAAGCCGCTTCCGAACGGCTGATGATTTTTTTTATGAGGAGCCTTCATTTCAAGTCCGAAATACGCACGGAGGGTTGGACATTCCCTGCCGAGGGGCGACCGCAATTAGAAAAACGTTGCTACCTGAAATGGAGTTTGCAATTACGAGAGTTTGCTCTTATCGCACAATTTTTCCCCAAAAAAGAAACGTACATACATTTCAATATTTTTAGTGATAGCTGCATTAGTTTTCTATTAAATTGAAGACTTTATTTACTTAATTAAAAATATCGGATTTGTACCGTTTTGTTTTTTGAGATAATTTCATTATGCCTCTCTTATAAAAACCCCTGTTCTTATTGGGAAAAAAATGTGACAATCGATTTTAACGGGCTTCTATTGAGATCGATTCTGCACCAACCAAATCATCCGCTACTGACAGGGACCGATAATAATCACTTGGTGCGAGATCTGGACTATAAGGTGGGTGTATAAGAACCTCCTAACCAAGCCCTCGGAGTTTTCGGCGCGGCACTATCGATGAGTGTGGTCTGGGTTGTTCTGAGTTAGGTTAGCAGCTCCTAGTAGATGAATACTTGATAATTCCACCGAATACACAATAAAACCTTTCTAGTCGCCAATCATAGCTTAGAGACCGTTTGTGCCGGCTCACTGTCCTTAGATCTCGACTGTTTGGCTATAGATGATACACCTTTTATCACCGGTCACAATCCGCTTGAGAAATGGGTAGATTCTTATTACGATTCAGCAGTTCAGTTTGCAGATGGCCCATGAGATTTTTTCCCGTTAACTCATGCAGACCCATACATCGAGCTTTCTTGTGTATCCAATCTTATTTCAAGTGGTTCCAAACAGTTTTATTTTATTGTGTGCGATGTTTAGTTCCTGGGCAATCGATACATCCAATATTTCATCGATATTTTCGACAATTGGCTTTCCACACCGTGGATACGTCTTTAACCAGAAATCGAAGAATCCAAAATTGTGCATGACTGTGGCTGGATCAGTACCATAAACATGTGTTTCGCCTTTACCGAAAAAAAATTTTGAATTAAAGCGTATTTCCTCTTTGCTGGTGTCCATTTGTGATATGCGCTCAAACACTACTGAGTTGAGTGATCACTTGCTCTTCTACCGTTATATTTTCAGTACAAAATATGATCTTTTTAACGCCATCTTATAGAACGCGGGCTCCATATCATTGAAGCCACTTATAGCTAAAATAATGGATTACTTTTTACTTGACCTAATAAATTAAACGTACGTACATAAAATAAATAAAATATAAAATTTTTAAAACATCAATGAAATGTTTGTAACTGCGACTATTAACTGGCATTCATGTTTTTTTTGGAAAACATATTTAAATGCTAAATAAAACTTATTACACTATTTCTTACATAGCTGCATCACTTTGGCTGTGAGCCACTGTACTCGTATGTATGAACGTGAATAAGTTCTAAAAATATGTATTTATTGTAATTAAAAATATTTTTATTCTATTGCGACATTAATTGTACCAACAGAAATACTAAATCAAACTTTATTGTAAATAAATACACTGTATGTACATACATATATATATATATATACATATGAACATAGACATATACAGCCTTGACCAAAAGTATTAGGCACCCCACTAATTACTGAATTTTTTGTTTTAATAAGTGAAGTAATGAAGTTTTCTTAGTAAAATAGTGAAAATTCAATGAATTATTGATAATAACATTAATATTTAGTAGGTCCACTCTTCGATTTTATAACGGCAGCAATGCTCTTAGCCATGCTGCGTACAAGATTTGCACATTCGTCCGCCCTTACAGCGTACCACTCGTTAATTAAGGCATTCTTTAAGTGAGTTTTTGATGTTATACTGTGTTCCTTAATCTTGCGTTTTAAGATCCGTAGACGGTGCAGGCCAGTCTAAAAAAACAATGTTGTTATCTCTAAAACAACGCATCGTAGTCGGTGGTTTGTGACAAGGAGCATTGCCTTGTTGAAGTTGAACCCCGTGTAAATTAGTATCGCCAAAAATTCGCGTTAACGAAGGCAGAAGACCAGCTTCTAATACACTTATGTACTCTTGACTGTCAATGCGACTCTCGCAAGGGGACATTTCGCCGATACCATCAGCAGTCATGCAGCCCCAGATCATAATGCTGCCTTCTCCATGCTTAGCAGTGGGCACCACGTAATCTGGATGATATTATTCCCCAACCCGTCGCCTCACAAACGTCGCACCAGGTGTTGCAAATAGCTGTAGAAAAGAAATTATAATGTTTTCAAAAGATTTGTATTATGTCTTCAAAATTACTCTAGGGTAAGAAGCTTTGACTGTTAATACTTTAAGACGATCTAAACTAAGCATACCTTGAAGTTTTATTCATCAGACCAGAGAACATTCAACCAATCTTCTTCCGTGAAATGTTGGTATCGGCCATACCAAACAATTTTTTCTATTTTTTTCTGAGAGCCACGGCTTCTTTCGGGCTTTACATCCTTTTAAACCTGCTTCCAGAAGTCTTCTTCTAGCTGTTCGAGCACTAACTGGTTTACTAAATTTATCCGAAAGGGTAGCTGCAAGGGCAGAAGAAGATTTTCTGCGATCCCTGAGAGACTCACGTAGAAGTATTCGGTCTTCTCGTTTACTGGTTAGACGATTTCTGCCACTTTTTGATTTATTATTGTGGAATTTGGTCTCCACAAGTCGCCTGATAGCACATTGGATCGCGCACCACACCGAACATTCCACAAAATTCGAAATCTCAACCTTAGACTAACCGTCTTCACTTAGAATTTGAATTCTAACTCTATCATCGTAGCTAATTTCATTTTCACTTTCAAATTTTAAACGCGAAAATATTTTTTGAATTTCTTAAAAATGAAATTTTTTAGGTTTAGCTTACCCAGAGTGCTATGACATTTTATATTACACAATTTATTTGTTTAATCAACAGTTAAACACAGCATGTAAGACATTTACAAAAAGAAATCATAACTTTGATAGCCACATTTGAGAATACTTGTATATTAGTGGGGTGCCTAATAATTTTGGCCAAGGCTGTATATATACACATATGCATATAAATAATTTGAGGTAAGTCTTATGTTTAAAGGTTTATGAGACTGCGACATAGAGAGATAGAGTGATACTCGCACCTAGAGAGAGGTGGAGGGAAAAGGCATTAGACGACATTGAGCTTAACCCCATTTAAGGTCAAGTGCAGTAGTTTGTTATTGTTTACGCTTACATACATACATACATACATACATACATATGTACATCTGTATGTAAGTGCTTTGATGTTGATGTTGATACGGTGATTCAATATTATACATACATACATACATACATATAAACGCCGAACCCTGCGAAATTCGCATTTGTTATTAATAAGTCTTATCACTTAATTATAATTAATACAAAAATTTTGCAAAAAAAAAAGAGAGAGTATTGAGCATAATTGGTGATTAGGCGAAAATTTCACTTTTTACATTTTTGCTAAAATCAGTTTGAATCGAGAAATCATTGTGTCATGATCGGAAGATGAATGAAAAGTGCCCGCGTCCGATACTCATTCTACTATGCCTATTTTTAACACAACAAGGCGGTCAATGCCATACAAACGAGCCGAAAGTGCGCACGGGATACGTAGTGTCGCGCCTCTATCGTGAACAGCTCATCAATATGGTAAATATACAAGACAAGGATGTCGAGCCGTGTGAAGATTTCTTTGCACATGCTTGCGGCTACTACGATGAGGTGATGCGTGCTGATGATGGGCAGGTGAGTGAGGAGGTCGGCGAACCGGTAGTACCGCCATTTTTATATAACTACGAAGATCGCATGCATTTCTTCGAACGTAGTAAGGAGAATTTCGCTACAGCTTCGGGTCAACTGTTGAGCGTACTTTACATCACATGCAAGAAACGTGGTGAGCTCAATGAGATGAGACGTGGTAGTGGTGCATTAACTCAATGGCGTCGCATGTTACGCGAAATACCCTTTCTTGCGGAGAATGCGCGCCTCTATACGGAGTGGCCTTTGTTGCGTCATGAGTGGGAGGAGCTGGAAGTCCAGCATGCCTACTTAGATTGGGTGCAGTTGGCTGCTGATTTTGCCGCACACGGTGTACTGAATTTCGTACGCATCTTCTTTGCTAAAGGTACAATTTTCGTAACGCCCGTTAGACCACAAGAAGATATTCGCTGTGAAGCGTATGAGGAGTGGAAAAGGCAATTGCGCAAATTTCGACGTAAAGGTGGAAAGCAAGCGTTGCAGGTTATAGTGAGTGAACTGCACACATTCTGTCGTATGTTAATTGGAGAATTGCCGTTCGATAGCGAATTGTATGCTGAAACTGATGGTCGTAACAAGGGCCCACGTAGTTCCTTTAATTTCATTGAATACTCGCGTCTTTTTCTAGACAACTTGCAGTTGGACAAAGATGTTGTTAGTGATGCGCGTGAGATAGTAATGGAGGGCGAACGCTTGGAGGAAATCGCCACACTTATACGCTCTACACATCCAAGTGTGCTTTTTAACTTCATAATTTGGCAGGCTTACGAAACGCTACGTTATGAAGACTGTTTTCTACTCACCGAAGAGTTTGAAGATCTACTGTTGTCAGAGTACTGGAATTGGGATGTGTTCAAGGAGCATTTTAGTCGTCAAGTAGCGTTAGCGACGTATCTCTATCATACCACACGTTTTCAGCAGCAACGACGTACTGTGCTTCTGGGAGAGCAGTGGGATCGCTTTCTCTATGCCAAACTACAGCGTAGTGATTTCAATTTGCCGCGTCTACTTGCTACCTATGCAAAAATCAATTTAGATCCAGCAAACCTCACCGCCATTTACGAGGCAGACAAATTTGTCACAGGAAATTTTTATGGAAATTTGCTCGGCATGCGTCGCAGTAAACTGAGAAATACTTTCTTTATAGATTACATCGATTCCGAAGACTACAATCATCCTACATACTTCTTGCGACATTTCATCTATTTTACCATTTTGACCTTAGAACGTCCCCTGTTCCATTACTTCGCCACCCTGGGTTTTGAACTGTGGCACAAGGCGGATTTACTTTATAATTCGGATGGGTTGTACACAGCCATAGATTGCTTGGAGCGTCAATCACTGTTGACCTTCGAAGATGCTACAAACTTTCAGTTCCTAGACGACCAACAAGTTGCCGATGTTTTCCGATTTTATCGCACATTTACTGAGTCCTTACGAGATTATGATTTTTGGTTGGAAGGTGAATCATTCGCTTTTGCTGAAGAGTACGTGCTGGAGCACTTTAATTTGACTTCGAAACAAATAATGTTCTACGCTGTGGCGCAATTATATTGCGGACGAAACGATGCCTGGTATGGGCTTTTGATCAATAAAAGTTTCATGAATATGCCTCAATTCGAAGCGGCATTTGAATGTGCGGAGGAAGCACCAATGAATCCTCTGGTCAAATGCATGATTAATCACTGTGAGGTCTAGTAAATCGTTATATAGGTATTACTGTTAGTGAGTATATTAGGTGTAAGTACGGGTACATGGTTATGTTTCAAGATTTGTAATTAGATAATATAATATGTACATATAAATGTTAGTGTGTTTGTATGTATGTCTTGATTTAGTGAAAAAATAAAATAAAAAATGCTTCAACTTCTATTGGTTGCCTATAAACAAGTCTGACTTAATTTCTCTTTATGAACTCTTGTGGTGGTAAAGTAAATTGCCGCCGAACCAATGCGGTTCCCTGGCGACCAAAGTATACAGAGCACACTTGGTGTATGGAGAGAACACTTCTGCATCCCGCCGAATTGCAGTGAAAGTGCAGAACACGGATATAATAAATCCGACATCCGAGAATCGATGACGAAGATTTGAATAGCGATTGTTTTCTTAAAGAACAACAAAGCGACTCGGGTCGATGACTTACCAGTGGAGTGAGTGGTGAAGAGCAAAAAACATGTATCACTTCTATGCAGAATATGGTCGGACAAAAGCATGCCCGAAGATTGAAGCCTACATCTGATCTGCTCATGTAGGAATACATGAGGCATCCGACAGATTACCAATTACCGTGAGATATCATACATATGGTTCTATCGACCGTTTTGTGTGAAATATCAAAGCCTACCGTCTACAAACTGATGGCCTGATATCAATGTGACTTAGATTAAGTAAATACAGCATTGATCAGGTCTTCACCATGCGCCAAATCTTGGAAAAGATCCAAGAGAAAATAATCAATATATCACCTTTTCATCGATTTTAAAGCACATTAAGGAGCTGCGGTTATGTCTCTATGTCGCTATGTCAGAGCTTGGTATTCAAGAAGCGCAGTCATAATTGAAAATGACCTCTCCGAGCCTTTCGAAATAGATAAGATGACTTTTTATCGAGTAAAGTCTTCAATTTGCTGAATGATGGAGAAAAGTATAAGAGCTGCAGAGCTAAATGGATAAGATACAATCTTTTACAAGAGTACCACATTCTGTTTTCTACAGGCTTGATATAGAAGCGAAGCGTATGGTTCTGGACAAGAAGAAATATCACCTGTTTTCAAACAAACAGTAATCACATTCGTGACATGGTTCAGACGTCACTGGATGTTGATCGGACCAGGACTCGTACAAGCAGTGCGCAATGCTAACCTCTCCGTTGTCAAAGCATTTACATACTTATATTAATATCCCCAAATCATGCAAATTTATTACCAAAATAACGGTTCAGCTTACGTGTTGCATCACGAGCTACTTTCGTCATTCGGTCCTCATTATTCTAGCCGCAATGGCACACAACAATTGGTGTTCATTTACTTTATGGAAAATTTTGGTCCTACGGCTTATACTAAGCCGCCTCCGAACTAAATCCCTACAATTGTTGGAAAAACATCGGGACGCAGAACCACAAATTGAAGGAGGAGCTCAGCTGAAAGTCGCTTCTGTGGTTACAAAAGCGCCAATTATTAGTGCAATGGGAGTGAATTCTGGTACTTTTGGTCAGAGAATATGTGCATAGTGACACACGTTCTACGGCTGTAAGGTTAATTTTGAGGTAAATGAAGAAATGGTATTCCTTATACACATTCATTCACTTCACAACCGTTGCACTGCGAACGCAGCACCGTTATCTTATTTGATTTTCCCAATAAGTTCTTTACTACTTTGAACTTAAAATGAACTCCTTGGACTGCTTGCACGCGCTTTTCTGCAATTTTGCTTATCTCGAAAGAATTTCATTTCAAATTTAATTTATATGCAAATGTATGCCAACGAAGGTGGAACACAACAATGGGCAACAATCTCAGTTGTGGCTGTAGCATGCTCCCGATTGACCTCTGCTGCCCGGCGCTGCAAGTATGCAACCGACATACATACATATGTACTTATGTTACATATAAATACATGCAAATATACACCTTTGTTGTACATCTTCTTTCTTCTACTTAATGCGATGCAGGAAATGCAAAAGTAAATTACCGCCGATGCGGAAAACTCAACTGACGGTATACGAAGAATGTCCTGAAGTCATAATGTAGACCTAGACAAGCACATCCATACATACATATACTAGTAGTATACATGCATACTTATATATGTGTGAAATACATACATATGCATGTTTATGAAAATCACCAACCGCCGAGAAACAAGCTGCAAAGGAAGCAACAAAATTAAGAATAATATTTAATTAATGGCGGTGAAAGGGGCACTGAACGTTGTTTAAAGGCCACATAATTCAATTAAACGCAATGAGACGACGCTGAGCGTGTGATGTCGTAGGAAACGGAGCGTGAGAAATTGTTCAACCATAAAATATACCACATTCATTTAGTCAGCAGTTTGAATTGCAGCACCGAGTTCGTATATATGTATGTATTTATTATATATTAATATATATATGAAAAAATCGTTCCTTCCTTCTGATGGATTTTTATGAGGATCTTATTATTTTGAATGTTGATCTGGTCCAGATTTGAACATATTCTAAATTATGGTACGTACTTTCAATTACACGGCTAATACGGCCGGTCAAAATCGATATGTGTATGTATGAGATGTTTTCAAAAACTAACGAGAGTTTCTATTTTCCCATCACCTAGCAATGCCGAATTCCGAATTGTAATTATGTGACTGAAGAGCAATGAAGCAGCCGGAGTTGATCGACTGTCAGCGGAGTTGTTCAAGGCTAGCGGCAGCGAGTTGATAGGGTGCTTTCTCCCTTTTTCTGCGCCATTCATTCCTTTTTTTGCAGTTTGGCGACAATTGAAGATACCATTAAGAGCCAAGTCCAATGGAGTGAAGATCTTTCTCTTCCTTTGCTTCCGCCGGCGGGTACTGCATCGATAACTTACAAAGCTGGAGTATTCTTATCCATCCGAACCACATGACCTAACAGACGTAGCCGCTGTCTCTTCATTCTCTGAACTATGTTAATGTCGCCGTATATCTCATATAGCTCATCATTCCATCGGTTGCGTTATTCGCGATTACCAGCTCATAGATGACCAAAACTCTTACGCAAAGCCTTTCTCTTGAAAACTTACAATATTAGCAGGACGGGAACGATAAGCGACTTGTAGAGTTTGAGTTTCGTTCGTCGAGAGAAGACTTTACTTTTCAATTGCCCACTCAGTCCGAAGTAGCACCTTTTGGCAAGAGTAATTTTGCGTTGGATTTCCAGGCTGACATTGTTGTTGGTGTTAATACTGGCTCCAAGATAGACGAAGTTATCTACGACTTCAAAGTTATGACTGTCAACTGTGACGTGGGAGCAGAGTCACTAGTGCGATGACTGTTGGCGTGATGACAGGAAATATTTCGTCTTGGACAACAGGTGATAGGGTAACTATATCAGTTTTTCTGCTAAATATGACTAGTGGAAAGCATATCCAATGGTTTGCATCTAAGTATCCGTTGCTCTATACTGAAGAAGAGCGATATGCCCCAACAACCGAGAAATCAATCCTATTGTCATTTCATACAAGGTCTTGTCGAGCTTACTATGTGAAAGGGTAAGGGCAACAACGATTCTAAAGATCTGTTCTCGATTTTAGACCGTAAACTTAATTAGATATGTCTAATAAGCGCCAATATGGCCATATTTCTTGTCGGCTAGCCATCGGCTACATGCTCATTTTTGTACAAATTTATTTTAAAAGAAAAAAATGATTCCAATTTAATTAAAATTTTTTTGATAATAGTTTAAATTTGGCAGATGTGATGAAAGTGATGAGCTATTAGATTTATTCAAAATTTTAGGCATCAACTCGGGGACACGAGCACGCTGCGTCACGCTACTTCCGAGAAAAAATTATGGCAACATTGCACTCTGTGTGAGAGTGGAAACATATGGAGATCCGCTCAAAATGAGAATACCTCTTCAGGTATTTGCTTACCTTACTCAACGTCCGCTCCTTTTCCCGATCACACTTTTAGTAACCTAGTAACCTCTACTCAGCACATTCGTTAGTTTACTCCGCAAGTTCAGCGATTGGGCTTCAAAAACTATGGAGACATTTTTATTGTCAATTTAATATCTTATAAATTCCTTTGCAACTCTGCTGAATATATCTCACGGCATGAACGTAAATCTTCATTGGTATCTCTTTAAAAATGAAATTTGCGCTTACAACCAACATACTTACATACATACATATATCTTCTCACACACATATGTACCCAACATAGTGGTGAACGAAGGGCAAAAGCCGGACGGAAATTATTAGCCTCATTAAGAAGACGCGCACGCTGTTGTGCTTAAGTAAATTCTATATTAGCAATTATGCTGTGTAGCAGCTGTTGATGACTTGGCCGGGCTTGGCTGGTAGATGATGTTGCTGGTCTCTCATTCCTTTTCCATTAAAACCTTTAAGTAGGTTTGAAGCGAACATGTGCTACGTTTCATGGTGTTTGTAATTACTATATTGCTTTAAAGAGAAAAATGAAATACATATGTACATATACTTTCATATAAGCATGGAAGTGCCTGCATGGTTTAAGTAGGTTTGCTTACAAGCTTACATGCCCTGGTGTTTGGGCGTCTGATACTTAGCAACGTTGTGCCTTGATGTAATTGTCCTTTAAGTAAATTTGGTTTTATGGGGATGTATGTGGTAAGTAATATAGATACAGTTTTTGTTGGAAACGAGAAATGGTTTTAAAAATTTTTTATACCAGAAAAAATAATTAATAGAGCTCGCTTATACACACACGAAGTCATCACTCTCGTTAAGTGCTTGGATGAAAATTAGTTTGAAGTATTGGAAATCATTTCACCTGAAATAAGAAATCTCTTCTTCTTTATTAGAGTTGGCACGGCTTACGCGATTATAGACGAATTAAATAAAGCGCGCCATTCACCCCTTTTTGGCGCTGTTTGGCGCCAGTTGGAAATACCAAGTGAGGCCAGGGCACTCTCCCCCTGATCCTTCCCACGGAGTGGAGGTCTTCCTCTTCCTCTGCTTCCAACGGCGGGTACTGCATCAAGCATATCCTTAATATCCTCGTCCATACGCGACTGTATGACGGGAAACACAGGGGGTATTAACATCTGTTTTACAGGTTCAACTCCTGCCTTTACCCTGATCCTATGCTCGACCAAATGGGGCCGGCCTAGCCCTTCCGACATAGCCTGGAACGCCCC